CCGCGGCCTCAAGGCGACGGGCCCGGCGGCGGCGGCGCCCGCGGTGCCCGACGAGTACCTGCCGCCCAACAAGACGCTGTTCGTGCAGAACCTGCCGGCGTCCTTCGACGTGGATGCGCTGACAGGCGTCTTTGGCCGCTTCCCGGGTTTCCGCGAGGTGCGCCTGGTGCCCGGCCGCCGCGGGCTCGCCTTCGTCGAGTACGAGACCGAGGCCGGCGCCATCGCCGCCAAGGAGAGCACGGCGGGCATGGCGCTAGGCGACGAGGGGAAGCCCGTCAAGGTCACGTACCAGCGGCAGTGAGAGGCGGCATAGACACTCCATTGGTTGGTCAGCGGGGCAGGTGGTATACCGTCTTGCCTCCGACTAGCGCGCTATGATTTCCAGGCAACACAGAACTAGGGAAATTGGTGACAAAATGCTGAAGCCAAGTACAAATTATTCGTCTTCGAGCCCTGATTCTTGCCAAACATTCCTACCTATACAGTCGACACTCAGAAAATGACGTCCTCCTCTTGTTCGCCCAGTATGTCGCCCGAATCCTTGCTTGGCCCGTCGCCCTTTGCGTTTGCGGCCAGGGCGGCATTCCTCTCGGCCATTTCCTTGTCCGCCTCCTCGTTGTCCTTGACCTTTTTGGCCGCCACCTTCTTGAGCCTGTAGAACTCTTCACGGTCGAGCTCGTCGAGCTCCGAGTTGATGTCTAGTCTAGCAGTCAGGGTCCAGCGTCCAGGTTATTGGGGGCGGGCGGCACAAACATTTGATGGTGTTCTCCGTCCGAGGGATGATGACGTGCTCGCTGTAAAGAATGGTCAGAACAAGAACACAAGGGTCACATCGTAGCAAGCCCCTTCAGGAATGGCTCACATGGCGTTAACTCTGCGGTTGACCACCTTGATAACCTCGTCGAGTATCACAAAGGCCGTCTGCAGGCTCGCGAGCTCAACCAGCGCCTCGACGGCGCGGGCGTACGTCTCGCGGCACCGCTGCACCTGCTGGCCGCCCTTGCCCAGGCCCGTCATGGCAAAGTCGTTTGTGCCCTCGGCCACGTAGCTCTCAAAGGCGGGCAGCAGCACGCCCGACACGTTCTCCTGCTTGGCGCGGATGCGGAAGCGGGCCGACTTGGCCGACTCCTGCACCGTGTAGCCGACGTCGCCGCCGACCGCGTACGTCACCTCGGCCAGCGAGAAGGCGGCGATCTGCATGACGCGACCCATCTTGCGCTTGGCCTCGTCGATGCGGCGTGTTATTTCTGCGGGGGGGTTAGCCGGCGGGGCAGTTTCATGGGTCAAGGTCTATGGATTGTACCTCGGAATCGCCTACCGACAAGAGCGAGTGTTGGTTAGTCCGAACTACCAGCGCCGGCAGGGTCAAGGGGGGGACGGGGAGACCAACTTGGTGAGCGCCTCGCTCTTGCGCTTCAGCAGGCTGTGGCCCGTCTCGGCGCCCTTGAGCTTGGCCTTCATCAGACCCAGCGACTGCCGGGTCGGGAAGACGGCCTCGCGGTCCTGTGCGGGCGGCGGTGGTAAGCTTCTGGCGCTCGCATCGGGGGTCGCGCCGTGACGCGGGCGAGACTCGGCATTGCAGGGGAGGGCGGTCGGCTCACAGCAGCTCCAGACATGGCGATTGGGTCTTCTCGGCGGAGGGTCTCGGGGTGAGGATGCGGGCTGTGTCACGGGCCGGGGACCGTTGTGCGGGATTCTCGGGGTTTGGTGCCGGTTCGGGGATGGTTTGGTGAGGTGTCGGGGTTGGTTGGTTTGAGCCGTCGACTCCGTGACGTCTGTGCTGCCGAGGCGGCGTTTGGGCTTGGGCTGAGCGGCGCAGAGTGGGTCGACGCTGGAGCTTGTCTGGCACGTCTGGGTGCTCGAGCTGTGAGCCCATATCTCTCGACTTCTTATTGATATCCACTAAGCTACACCACAGAAACTGTATTCCGGCGAGGCTCTATTTGCCTTCATTGTATCCAACAGCCCCTTCTCGTCGTTGGGCTCACCCTCGAGAGCCATGGATGGACCTAGACGGCGAAAGTACATGCCCTCAAACTCGGCTGCGAAGAAGCCTCCATACTCCCAATCAAACGATAGCCTTGACCTTTAGTCTCCAGATGGACAGTGGGATTGTGTCGAGAGGTCGTTGTGGCAAAAAATTAGACCCTCGGTTGGCCTGGGCTACATATTCGGGAGAATGGTCTTGGTCATGATGTGATATGGAGGAATAACCTGGACCGCCGTCGACGTCTCCCCCACGAGGTAGACTGCCCCGTCGTCCCTGAAGCAAGCGTATACCCTGTGCACTAGGATGCCCGTCTTCTCCCTCTGCTGTTGGTTCATGGTCATGGCCCAAGTCCTGTTCTCCCACCAACAGCCATGGCAACGAGGTTGCGCCATGGTGCTACAGGATTTTGATCTCCTCCCACCGAACCTTCAACGCTTCCAAGCTCTCGGGTCGATACGAGCGAGCTTGGCCCAAACGTGCAGAAAAAGGTAAAGTGCGTGCCCAAGTGGTCAGCTATCGTTGGTGGACCCACAGTACCTCGAGTCACTTCCGGCTACTTGATGTGGCCCCAGCCGTATCGGGCTGCCATGTCCCATACAGGTACTCAATGGTACCCAGCGGTACCGCCCACATGCTCGCGATTCGGCTCTACTTCGCAGCGCCAGGCCTAGCACCCTAGCTCCCGCCCCAAAGCCAGAAGGGCTGGCGCATGAATTTTCACGGAGCCTAGCCAAGGCCGGGGAACGCGGTTGGACGATAACAGAGCGAAATCGACCGACGCCAGCAACCACCCGCAACCACCCAGCTGGCCGGATTGACGACTCGAAACGACGTCGCTGCATGCCCCAGACGCGCCAGTGATGGTTTGACGCGGGTGCAAGGAGCGAAAGACCCTCCTCCACCGAGACTCTGCCTGCTTGGCTGGCTGGATTTCTGGAGCGAGATCAGAGTCGCAACCCGGTCATGGCCACGATGTCGCTCCAGACTGCCGTTGTTGGCACCAACGGCCACGCCCATGATGCAATCTGCATCCGACAACGGCAGCCCGACCTTCGCCTGGTGGTGCGTCTTGACTTCTTCCCACGCCGTCCATGTCTCCTGCTGACACCTCGCCCCAGACCGACGACGACTACGTCTACGAGCAGGACATCCTCCGCAGCCCCGGCAGCACCAAGCCATGGCTAGCCTACATCAGCTATAAAATCCAGCACGGCACCCCCGAGGAGCAGGCCTTTGTGCTCGAAAGGGCCTGCGTGCAGCTGCCACGGTCGTACAAGCTGTGGAAGATGGTACGTTTTTTTTCTTCTTCTCTTGCTCGGCTCGTCGCGGAGCTCCCCGCACACGCGCTGACGCCTCATGCCACAGTACCTCATCTTTCGGACAAAACATGTCACAAAGCTCAACGCCGCCGTCTTCGCCGCCGAGTTCCGCAAGGTTAACGCCCTATTTGAGCGCGCACTCATCCTACTCAACAAGATGCCGCACATCTGGGAGATGTACCTAAAGTTCCTGATGAAGCAGCCGTTGGTAACCCTTACCCGCCACACCTTCAACCGCGCCCTACGCGCCCTGCCGGTTAGCCAGCACAATAGGATATGGGCTCTCTATAGGCCGTTTGCGAACTCGGCCGGCGGTCTGACGGCCGTCAAAATCTGGCGCCGCTACATGCAGGTGCACCCAGAGGACGCCGAGGACTTTATCGAGCTGCTGGTCCAGGTCGGGCTATACACCGAGGCCGTGCGCAAGTACATCGAAATTCTCAACAAGCCGCGCTTCGCCAGCAAGCACGGCAAGGGTCACTACGAGCTTTGGAGCGAGATGGTGGAGCTAGTCGTCGAGCACGCAACTGAGGTCGAGGCCAACCACGAATCGGGCATCGACGTCGAGCGCATCATCCGGAGCGGCATCGAGCGCTTCGCCGACCAAAGGGGGAAGCTGTGGGTCGGCCTGGCAACGTACTGGATCCGGCGGGGAAGCTTCGAGCGCGCGCGCGACGTCTTCGAGGAGGGCATCACGACGGTCATGACGGTCCGCGACTTCACGCTCGTCTTCGACTCGTACGCCGAGTTCGAGGAGTCGGTCATCGGGGCGTTGATGGAGGTGGCGGCGCAGCGGGCCGAGACGGGCGTGGCCGACGAGGCGGCCGACTTCGACCTGGACATCCGCATGATGCGGTTCGAGCACCTGATGGACAGGAGACCGTTCCTCCTCAACGACGTGCTGCTGCGGCAGAACCCCAACAACGTGACCGAGTGGGAGAAGAGGGTGGGCCTCTGGGGCGACAACAGCCAGGAGGTGGTCAGCACCTACACCAACGCCATCGCGGCCGTCAACCCCAAAAAGGCCACGGGCGCCTTCCACCAGCTGTGGGCCAACTACGCAAAGTTCTACGAGCGGGGCGGCGACCTACGCAACGCGCGCATCATCATGGAGAAGGCCGTCAAGGTGCCCTTCAAGTCGGTCAACGAGCTGGCCGAGATGTGGATCGAGTGGGCCGAAATGGAGCTGCGCAACGACAAGTTCGACGAGGCGGTCCGCATCATGGCCAAGGCGGTGCAGGCGCCCAAGCGGTCGACGGTCGACTATTTTGACGAGACGCTGTCGCCGCAGCAGCGCGTGCACAAGAGCTGGAAGCTGTGGAGCTTCTACGTCGACCTGGTGGAGAGCGTGAGCACGCTCGACGAGACCAAGAAGGTGTACGAGCGCATATTCGAGCTGCGCATCGCGACGCCCCAGACGGTGGTCAACTACGCCACCCTGCTCGAGGAGCACAAGTACTACGAGGAGTCGTTCAAGGTCTACGAGCGCGGGCTGGACCTGTTCAGCTACCCGGTCGCGTTTGAGCTCTGGAACATGTACCTGACCAAGGCGGTCGACCGCAAGATCGGCATCGAGCGGCTGCGGGACCTCTTTGAGCAGGCGGTCGAGGGCTGCCCGCCCAAGTTTGCCAAGATCATCTACCTCATGTACGGCAACCTCGAGGAGGAGCGGGGGCTGGCGCGGCACGCCATGCGCATATACGAGCGCGCCACGCGCGCCGTCTCGGACGAGGACCGGGCCGACATGTTCAACTTTTACATCACCAAGTCGGCCTCCAACTTTGGCCTGCCGTCGACGCGCCAGATCTACGAGCGCGCCATCGCGGCCCTGCCCGACGACGAGGCGCGCGACATGTGCCTCAAGTTCGCCGACATGGAGAAGCGTCTGGGCGAGATCGACCGGGCGCGCGCCATCTACGGCCACGCGTCGCAGTTCTGCGACCCGCGCACCACGCCTACCTTTTGGACCAAGTGGGAGCAGTTCGAGGTGCAGCACGGCAATGAGGACACCTTCAAGGAGATGCTGCGCATCAAGCGCGCCGTTCAGGCAAAGTACAACACCGACGTCAACTTTATCGCCTCCCAGGCCCTCGCCCGGAGCCAGCAGGCCCAGCAGCAGGCCAACGGCGGCGGCGGCGAGGACGGCTCCGACGCGGCCGGCTCCGGCGACGACGAGGTGGCCGACGCCATGGAGGCCCTCGAGCGCCAGGCCCGCGCGCCCGTCGGCTTCGTGGCCGCCACCGAGGGCAACATCAAGAGTGTGGCCCCGACTGTTGTGCCCATCGTGGCGGCGAACCCAGACGCCATCGACCTGGACGACTGAGGTAGAAGTTGAGGCGCTGAGATGGTTCAAGTCGAGGCGCAGATGGTCCAAGTCGAGGACGCTGAGCCATGTACATCCGAGAGTCCTTTTTTTCGATACTGGGGGCGTGGACCGATATTTTTTTATTTTCCGACCATACCGTTTCTGATTTGTTCTGGTATAATGGCGTCTCTTGGCATGCATCCCACTCCTTCAGACGGCACTGGCGCGTCGCCGAGGAGGATGAGGAGGGCTCTTTTTCGTTTGTCAATTTTTCCTTTCTTCATTGATACTTTTGGCATTTCAAGCAGCCCGGGCAATAAATCAAACATGCCCCTCGGAAGTTTGTTCGATTATAGCGTCCGAAACCCCATTCAACTTTTTGAATTGCACGTTAGTAGTCGAGCAAAGGCGGCGTGTGAAAATGGCACTGATACGACGACGCAAGACGAAAACGGCCAATGTCATTCCGCTAGACTAAGGTACAGCACGCCACGCCATCCACGGCTGTTTCTTCCCATCAGCCCTTCTTGGCGTACTTTTCCGTGTGCAGGTCGTGGAACTTTGCGGCGTAATTCCTGTCGACGTGGCCGTCGCGCGAGTTGGGCGTCGAGTAGATGGAGCCCTTGCGTTTCTGGAACCGGCTGGGAGGGACCTTGGAGGCGTCTACGGAGGCTTGTCAGTCTTGGTGTCGACTTGGGGAGAGGAAGAACGGCGTGACACTCACCCCACTCGTCGCTCTGGCGTCGGTCCTTGGCGAAGGGGTCGCTAAACGTCGGCGGGCTCCCGCTCGTCTGCTCGAGGTCAGGGGCCGTGGTGGCGACGCCGCCCTTGGTCGTCATCTTTGCGTCTGTTTGTAGCGCCGGCGCCGTGTTAGTGGTTCTGATAGCAAGACGATGGGCTATATCATGTATACAGCAAGCGACGGACCTGTCATTGTTGGGTTGCCCGAGGTTCAAAAGGCGGTAGGAGGACGAATAATTTGTTTTCTAGGATTGGTCGTGATGGGAGTGGTATCAATAAAAAGTCCAGACTAAGATGGGAACTTTAGGATCTTGGGCCAAGAGATCAGGATGCAAAAGCCGCAGACAGCTGCTATTTATCCAAATCCCACCTCTGGCCACGCACGAGCCGTTCAAAGGAAACGATCGTGGCTGCACCGCCCTCCCCCTCCGGGCGGACGCACGCCTGCCCCAAAGCAGCAAAGAGAGGCAGGCGCTGTTTCCCATTTTAGAGTTCATTACGTATGTATTGTGTTTGGGGGAGAGGCGGGCAGCTCATGGCCAGTCAAGCAGTTCGCCGCCGGGCGGGCGCAGCTGCTCAAAGCTCGGGGCCAGGCCCTTCCATGTTTTCTTGTCCCTCCCTTGTTTGGCCGTTAACACCCCCGCAATATCAGCCCCGGACGGGTCCCCTTGGCGATGGCGTGCAGCTAGAGGGTTACAGGGTGGCAGGGGCTGTGCTTGCACATGTTGGCGGTTGGCGTTGACATGGTTATTGTTTGCTAGCTCGCTAGCTTTTATTCCTATTTTCCATTACTATTACATCACTGTGTCTGCTCGACTCATCGCCGCCGGCTACATCAGAGGCCCCAGTAGTGTGCTCCCACCAGAACCCGGGCCGATGTCGTCAGAAAGTCAAAGCAAAGACGAGCCAATTGTGTGAGGGGGTGTCGCGTGTTACCGCATCCGGAAAGAGAGTGGCGTCACTGACGTCATGCTCCAGCCGCTAAGCAATGTGATCTCTCTCTCTCTCTCCTCGGTTCTTCTGAGGGGGTTGTTGCACTGCCTCGACAAAGGCCCGAGCCCTTTGACAGCTTGTTCAAATCGACGATCGACAAATTGCTCCTGTCCATCGCCTCGCCGAGAGGTGCCCTCTACTCCGTCTCCTCTGGTCACGATGTTGCTCCCACAGCTGGCTGGGATCTGCCTGCGCGATGTCGCCGGCGAGCATTGAGGCCCCCGCTTGCCGCGTAAGAAGAGCCCGCCAAGCCCACTTATTTTATTGCTATCGCGCGGGTGGTGTAAACCTACATTGTCCCTAATTTCTTTGCATCTATAAATGCCGCTTTGCCAATGTCAAATTACACAGCCGCCCGCGCCCGCGTCGTCACGGATAAGGCATGTGTCACTACCTGCGTACGTTCGAAATGGACTTGAAGAGTGGATATTGTCATGCCAGATTGCCCGCCGCCTGCGAGGTAATGGCATTGAGCGTCTCCTAGGAGATATGGTGATAGGCTTGGGTGAAGGGCCTGTCTCCTAGATCGGATAAGCATGTTCCTATCTACGCACATACAGGCAGCCGGCCACTCGGGGCCTAAAGGCTATTGGCAAGCATCCGTGTCATATGCCTCTCCCGGCTGGGTGCTAGTCAGACCTGAAAGCCAAATCAAATGTTGCCGTTTTCAGTAACCTGTCCAACGGGCTATCAAGCTGGGTGGATTCTGCAAGCTGATCACCAAGAGACAGTCACGTTGGAGAGTGATATAGAGAGAATGGATATTGCACTACCGCATGGCTATCAATCTGTGCCGGCAGTAAAAGTACAAACTAAATCTTACAATCTTGCAGCAGCCCCCATTTTCCATACAAAGCAGTTTCTAAACAATCGTGAAAGATAGCACATGCGTCCTCGGATGCCCCCACCAGGGGTTGTGGTTTTCGTTGGTGTGGTCGTGATGTCGTTGCGCGTTTCTGCGACCAAGCCGTCTAAGCAATCTCGCCGTCCTCGCGGAGCTCCTGGATCTCCTCAGCAGACAGCTTGGAGAGGTCGATCTTGGCGGCCCGCTTCATCAGGCGGTCGAGCGCCTCCTCGGATCTCTTCATGGAGATGGCGAGAGCGCGGCGGGCCTGGGCCGGAGTCTGGGCGCCGGCCATCTGGACGGGGACGACGCCGCCAAAGGGACCGGCCCGGGCCGCGTTTTGGCACCGGACGAGGCAGACGTTCTCCTGGCCGGCGACGGTGCCGGTGCAGGCCTGGCTGGCGGGGAGCTGTGCCACAAGCGGGAAGTCGGTGGCGGCGCCCTGGCGGTTGCGCGAGTTCTGGCCGGGAGGAGTGGTGGTCACCTTGATGTCGGTCCATTGGGCGCCAGTGGCGTCGGCGTTGACGGAGCAGGTGTAGGGGCCTGGAGGATGATAATGTTAGTCAAGTGTCGAGTTTGATCATCTGGTGTTTGTAGTTCACTCACCACCGCCGTCGCCGTTGACCTGGTGCAGGGTCATGGTGACGGAGCCACCGGCCTTAACCTGCGGGAGCTGGGCGCCGGTCTCGGCCATGATAGCCTTGGTGCCAGCCTCGAGGTTGTTCTGGCCCGCGCCGACAGTCTCGCCAAAGGTAGCAGCCTGCGCACCCTTGAAGCGGGTGGCATCCTGCTGGAAGGGGTTGCGCCGGGTGCCGTCGCGGGGGGTGGCAGTGTCGACGCCGAGGGCCATGCCCTCACCACCGGCATCACCGACGGCCTTGATGATAGCGGCGTGGCCGGCGACCAGGTCGGCGGCAGCCAGGAGAGAGGCAGCGAAGAAGATCTTGAAAGACATTTTGGCTGGTGGGGTTTAAAGCTGAAGAGCTAAAAGGGGGATTTGTCGTGGCGAAAGGAAGTGGTCAAGATGTTCTGTCCGGCAGATGGGCTGTTATAAGGCAAGCTCTGTCGAAGAGTGCGAAGAGAAGTGGAAGAGATGAGAAGAGAGATGGAGGCCGCTGCTGTGGTTGCTGAGTGAGGAACAAGATTAAACATGAGGCCTAACCGGTCGAGGCCGCCCGGTTATATATGCATCGAGAAGGGACTGTAGCCGCTCACGATGGCGGTCCACGCGCATGCGTCGAGGTTGTTTCCTTGGCCGTCGTCCCTGGCTCGAAACGAGCGTAGTCAAACAACCATGACTGGAGTGCCTGCATAACCCGCGATCACGAAGATCAGCTGGAACCCATGCGAGCCCGACGGGGGATCCGCCCACTGCCACCCTGGCCAGTCCCGGGGGAGCTCGCAGCCGTCTCCACTGGCGCGAGCTCGCACGCGACATCAGGCTCCAAACTTGCCAAGCCAGCCATGCTTCCTAACATGAACAAGCAGACCGAAGGCAGGGATTCAAGCGATCTGATGTGTTGATGTGTGGCGAAACATGAGGACAACAGCACGGAAGCGGACGGCAGACGCCGTCAGTCAAGACACTAGCGCGAGAACCAGCAGGGACCGTGCCCTCCGTCTCTGGCGTCTCGACACCTGCATGTGTCGAGAAAGGCCGGAGACACATGCAGAGAGATGGAGAGAGAGAGAGGCAGCCGCACAGCCATGCACGTCAGGTGTAGGTACCCGCCACATCCGAGAAGTATCGCGGCGTAAACCTCCTGAGCTAGTCTTGACTGCTGTGCTATTCCCATGATAAAGAAGCTGCTAGGGTGGGTGGTCTAGGCTAGACTCCCCATACCGCAGGGCGGGTAGGATGGCATGGCCTTGTCCAGCAAGTGGCGGGGAAGCAGATAGAGCTTCAAAGTCCGGCTGGCAGAGACGGGTTTCATGGGGCTCGGGGCACAAACATGGGGCCTGCTCGGCCTGCTCAGCTTGCCCAGCAGCGCTGGTCAGAAACATCAATCATCGGACGAAAAGCCAGGCCCGAAGCAGGCAAATCGCAAGAGGAGTGCGGTCACGGAGCCGTGGCCGAGGTCAATGCCGTGAGGCTCATCTTGCCAAGCAGCTGGAAGTCAGCTGGGCCGAGTGAAGGGGGGAGCTCTGGGAGGAGCTTTGGGGAGCCAGGATGGCACTGAGTGGATGGCAGGAGCCCTGCTGGAGCTCTGGCGTGAAGCTGTTCCGTTGTGGGCCCGGGGACTGTGGCCCGTGTGATGCAACACTGGAGAGATTCACAGCCAATCGCGTTTGCAGCGGTGGGGCGCGGCTCTGGAGCTCCCTGTCGGCAGGCACACAAAAAAACTGACTCGGGTGGGACCGCCTGGGCGTGCTGTCGTCCAAGCACCCGCTCCTTCGAATGGTTGAGCTTGTAAAGGCCCCTGGTTTGGAAGGCCCCTGATCACGAGTGGTGCAGGCAGAAGACGGCGCTGCTGAAACGGGGTGCCACGGATGCTGCACAGAGAACGCAGACCCTGATCGAAACAAGCTTTGATCTTCCCCGTTGTCCCGCCGCCCGTCGATTGTTTGCGCGGTTGCCGCGGCTTGTCTCGACAAACGCATTCGTGCCTCGCAATACGCGGGGTTCACGCACAAGTCAAGTATACGCGGCATTGCCGTGATGTCCTCAGATAGATGAAGATCGCAAACGGGGTTATGCGCCGGCCAGCAAACAAACTCCTCACGGACTAGGCGCTTCCAGATTCTAGTCCCAATCTAGCAGGATACTGGCTTGCGATATGCCCAGCCGGGTTCGGCACAAGGCCGCGCTTGATGGATCACGATGGGGGCTAGGATAGGTTCATGGAGTAGCCTCTCGCTCGGGGCCTTGCGAGATGCTGTCCACTCCCGGCGAGATCCAACTCGCTTCTCGGCCTGCCTGGGGCGGCTCTTGATACTGCCGGATGGCTGTGCAGCTTTGACATTTTGACAAATGGTGGAAACAAAACGCGGAGCCACCCGCATGTTCGTGGGCCAATCGCAATACACCGATGGAGACCAAGCGTCCTGGGGGCTCTGGGTGACCCCTGGCCGGCACGCTTTCAGGGGCCCCGGGTGATGGACGACCTGGACCCCAGCGCCGATCCTCCGGGATGCTCCGGTGGTGCCCTGGGTGCGTGCCGTGCGCCGACTTGACCTCTCGATATCTCAAGACGGGGGGTTTTTTTTTGGCCGCCTGGAGAAGGCATGTCCATGGTATCTCGACCAAGCGAGACGCAACACCTGAAATGCAACGGCGCTGTTGTAACCGGACGCGACTGCGGCATGTGCACCGCCTCTGACCACCAGAGTCGATCCCGAGGCATTTTCTAGGCTCAAGGATCGAGGTATCTGGAGGAACGTTGTAGTGAACGCGGGCACAGTTGTGGCTAGACTTTAGATCCCGAAAGTTGAAGCAAGCGAGTCTGCTGTCATTGCTCAAACTCCTCCCAACCGTCACGTTCAGTGACTGACTCTGGTCGAGACTGACACCCTGACCAAGACCGGCTCCTGGCCAAGACTGTGCTCCATTGTCAAGTTCGTCTGACTTGCCTTGGCGTCCAAAGCGATGACAGCACTGAATATCTTACAAGCTACTCGCTCAGGGGAAACTGTCTTTCCAACAGCCCGATTCGCCTCTAAAGATTTGCTGATGGGACGGCAGGATAGCGAGCAGCACCTGGAAACTCTCGCTGGGTGGCAAGTTGCTTCTGTGGCTTTCACCGTGGCGGAGGAGCTTTGTTCTCCCAAGTTTGCACGTCAAAGGGCACCTTGGACGACGTCTGTACTGTATTGGGGATGCTTCCAGTTCTAGTGGTTTCGTGATGTGACCTGACAACGTTGGATTTCAGCTCAACTGGCTGAAATCGGTAGAGAACCCGCAATTCCCACTGTGTTCGCGGGACAAAAATGCTCTGTTGGCTCCCTGACTCACACCAAAATTTCGCTGAGAGCACCTGTTGAGTACAGTATGTAATGCCACAAGCTCCCACGGTATAACCGTTTTTCAACTGGCTCGCGATACCTCAATCGCTAAGGTACCATACGACGAAAATGGAGGGAAGAGAGCGGAAGAGTCACACATTGCGACACTCCGCGCCGCGCCTCACGTGTAATCGAAACAATCTCTCACCACGCGCACCGCGGCCCATGGGACTCATGTCGTAGTACATGTTTCGTGGTTTTGGTCGCCTGAAAAGTACGCTTCTGTTTGTTCTCCGCATGAAACGAAAGCTGGATCTGATATCAGACGGTCCGTCGCTGAAGCCCGGGATGCGTGCCATCTCGCTCAACCCGCGCGAGAAGCAGTTCAAAGGCCTGCTGTTAGATGTCGCGAGGAGCATCCATGACAAGGCCAAGGTCGAGGCGGCCGCGGTCGCTGTTGGCTCTGCAGCCGAGTCGGAGCCTGTCGTGCTCCGCTGGGCGGGCGGCTGGGTCCGGGACAAGCTGCTGGGCATAGAGAGCCACGACATCGATGTGGCCATCAACTCCATGACCGGCGAGGCCTTCACGAGCCACCTGGTCGAGTTCTGCGCCGACCCCGCCAACGTCGAGCGCCATGGCGTCACGCCCGGCGACATCGGCAACCTGCACAAGATCGCCGCCAACCCGGACAAGTCCAAGCACCTCGAGACGGTGGCCACGCGCATGTTCGGCATCGAGGTCGACTTTGTCAACCTGCGCAAGGAGACGTACGCCCAGGACAGCCGCAACCCGCAGATGGAGTTTGGGACCGCCAAGGAGGACGCCCTGCGCCGCGACGCCACTGTCAACGCGCTGTTCTACAACATCAATACAGACGAGATCGAGGACTTTGTCGGCGGCATGCTCGACCTGGAACGCAAGCTGATCCGCACCCCGCTGGAGCCGCTGCAGACCTTCACCGACGACCCGCTGCGTGTGCTGCGCCTCGTGCGCTTCGCCAGCCGCCTGGGCTTCTCCATCGACCCGGCCGCCGAGGAGACCATGAGCAAGCCCGCCGTGCTCGAGGCCCTGAGGCTCAAGATCAGCCGCGAGCGCGTCGGCATCGAGGTCGACAAGATGCTCAAGGGCAAGCACCCGCGCGACTCGCTGCACCTCATCGAGCGCCTCAGGCTCTACGGCGCCGTCTTCACCGACCCGACGCGCGGGCAGGAGGGCGTGCCGACGCCCGACATTTCCCGCTGGGCGGCCGCCTACGAGTGCATGCATCACCTGGCTGGCAACCGAACCCCCGGCTCCATCTACAACGTTCTCGTGCGCACCGAGGAGGACGCCGCCTTCGGCTGGACCATCGCCGCCCTGCTGCCGTGGGAGGCCCTGCCGGCGGCCGAGGTCCCGACCAAGGGCACGCACACGCTACCACTGGCCACGCTTGCCGCGCGCGAGGGCATCCGGGCCGGCAACAAACTATGCGACATAGTTACGGCCATGCATCGAAACCGCGCCCAGATTGAGGATCTTAAGCGTGCCGTGTGCGCGGGAGAGGCGCGGGCGCGCCAGCGTGACCTGATGGGCATGGCGGTCCGCGCCTGGGACACACGGACGGGCAACTGGAGGCTGCAGGTCCTGGGGGTCGCGCTGCTCGAGATTATGCAGCGATCGGATACGGGCGATTCGGCACAATCTAAGGACAGTGCCCTCGACACCCAGTCTGGCCAACCCCTCGGGAATCCCGCAGCCCGAGACGAGGTGCTGGCCGGCTGGCAAAAGTTCCTCGACCACCTGGACGAGCTGGACGTGCTGGAGGCGCCGTCGTTCAAGCGCCTGGTGGACGGGAAAATGCTCTCCAAGGCGTTGGGGGTCAAGCCGGGCAAGTGGATGACGCCGGCCATGGACGTGTGCATGGAATGGCAGCTCCGAAACCCAGGCGTGACGGACACGGTGGGTGCCATAGACGAGGTTAGAAAACGTGCCGACGAGCTAGGCATCGTTGGTGTGGCCAAGGCAAACTGCTGATATGCCCCCAGGCGTTGGGGCAGTATTTTATTGGCCTCGGTTCTTATCTTGTGTCAGTTTTAGACATCTCACTTGCTAGATTCTGAAGACACAATCAGTGAAAGTCTAGGCTTTGGGTAGCATCCATGCTCAGCTCCCCGCGTGCCAACCTTACCCCACAACAGTGCAGCGATCCACTGTTGGCCAGTGCGGATCTCCACTGGCTCAGCTCACGGTTGAAGACGTCACGCGTGGACGGGCCAAGTCAATGGGGGCAGCCCAGCCACGGACAAGGGCGACTTCCTCGGCTCCAACCTCCATCTTCGTTTTGTCTAGTCCGCTCGCCTCCTCGCTCTCCGCACTTTGGTGCACGGCTTGGACAGACCACGACCACACCAGCCCCGAACAAGAATCGACAAAGCTTTGGCAGAGTCGCGGCCTCCAAACCCAAATCACCCGCCGGAAGCGTCGGCTAGTCCCCATCGCGTGCTCAAAGATGCATCGTGCCATCCTGTCTTAGATCCGGGTCTCTCCCTGCTTTTCCCCATCCCGCCACGACCGATCCCCATCACCCTCACCAGCTTCCTCGCAGGGCCTCGCGCCCGCCTTTCTCCTCTTATCGCCTGGCCAATCTTCATCATGGCCGACCCAGGCGTCGCGGCAGCAGCGGCGCTGTCTCGGCACGATAACGCCAGCGTCTGGTTCAACCTCAGCAACTGGACCGTCCAGCACATGCCCTATCTCAACATGACCAAGCTCGCCCCGTCCATCGAGGACCTTGTCCTGGCCGGTCCCAGGATAGTCATGAAGCTCAGCCGCCTCGGCTCCGTCTTTTCCTTCCCCGACGCCGTCGACGGCTTCGGACAGCGCCATTTGCCCGACGCGACCCCTGACTCTACTATCGTTTTCGCCGCCACCACCGACCCCGTCGCCGCCGCCCGGTCCTTCATCACTACCGCCCCGCCCGCGGCAGCCCAGTCCCTCACCGCGGCCCAGGACGCCGCCGCCTCGCGCTTCTCGTTCGAGAGCGCGCGGAGCTTCGGCAGCGTCTTCAGCTACGCCACCAGCAAGTGGGCCCTCTGCTGCATGGCCATGGCCGTGGTCCTCAACCGCACACACATCTTTGCCGCCACACGGCGCCGCCTGCGTCTCCGCTGGCCCGTTCGCCTGGCCCTTCGTATCGTTCCCATCGTCCTCTTTACGTTCCAGGCCCAGAGCCTGGTCCAGTCTATACAATGCCAGACCTCGCCCGACTTTGCCGAGCTGCGATGGGGCAACGCCAGCAAGAGCTCCGACCTCATGTTCTCGCACGCAAACAGCTTCTTGCATGGCCTGAGCTCGGCCCTGCTGCTTGGCGACTCGGACGTGGATTCGTGCCTAGCCGTCCACATGATACCGCCACTGCCGTCGGCCAGCGAGGGTGCAGAGCAAGCACAACCGGACCTGCGAGGCTCGCTGTCGCTCCTCTGGCCGCTTTTTGGGAGCTTCTGCCTGAGCCAGTTCCTCGAGACCATCTCGTGTGCCGTCCAGGGGAGGCCGCTCGCCGCCGAGACGGGCATGACCCTCTTTGAGCACTCGCTTGCCTTTGCCGAGGCCGATGCCGCCATTAGCAACCAGCTGGGCTGGGGCCTATTCACCGCCTCGGCTTCGACAGCGGCAGGTGCCGCCAAGGCCGCGGCGTCTATGGGGTCTGCTGCCACCGGGGCAAATATTGCCATCACAAGGTCCATGATTATGAAGAGGGCCAATACGCCGCCCGAGGTGCTGCTGGTTGCCTTTCTCTCCGCCATGGGTCACGTCACCAGTCACATCCTCGCCGTTTTCAACCTGCAGTCAAAGTTCCGCCTGGTCAGCACCGGCTTCTACGCTGCCTGTTTCATGGGCTCCATAATCTGGAGCGGCTTCACCTTCTCGCTGGACGACCCTGCCCGACAGGGTCTGTTGAGGTTTCCCACCGTCTGCATTATCGGGTACATTCCCCACCTGCTGGTCCTTTTTGGCATGTTGACGTGCTGCTCCATCTATTCGCTCTCCCTGCTCCTGTCGGCTCTCTCGCCTCCCGAGGTGGGAACCTCACCCGACAATGAGGGGGAGGATCTCTCAACGCTGGGAGCTCGGCTCAGGCGCGCACACGACAACATGCAGGCAAATATCTCACTCTCGGACGTCCGGATCACGATGGAGATGGACTTTTACACGGCGCTCTTGCGGGCTGGGTTCGCCGCCATCTCCATGGCTAGCGAGGCCGTGTACTTGAACGAAGACCGGCGTGTGAATCTCAAGCGATACACGTGGCTCGAGGACGAAAGGCTGCGCGAAATCGAGCAGCTGCGCATGCAGTGGCTGCCCAACTCGCGCTACGATTCCAACGGCGCCATCGGCCTGGTTCCGGTCGTTCATGCGCAGACGGGGAGGACGGAAGGTGCTGGCGGGTACGCAACCACGGGCTATGCTAGGGAGAGGGCGGCACAAAAGGTGGCAAAAACGCGCGGCAGCGAGCGCGTGCGGCCGATGCGGGACGGTGTCGGGGCCCACGAGCGCAGCGGCAGGTGGCTGCTTGCCCTGGAGTATATCATCCACATCAACCGGCTGATGCTCAGGGTCTTGGCCATGGCCATGTGCAAGGCCCTGGCGCGCCTTGGATTCGCGAACCCTCCCCGGTTCCTGCGGTATCTGGCGCAGGAGCCCAAGCCGAGAGGTGCGCCCGAGGTCATGGACATGAGTACCATGGATTCCACAGATGCAGGCGTCGGCGCCAAGGTGGATGGCGTGCGGGATGGGCGAGGTCGTATCGTGGGCGAGTGGATGCGAGGCCAGGAAACCAGAGCCTACGTACCGTGGAAATCGGGCGTAGACCTGGAGGAAATCGTCACGAAACAGTTCCCTGAAGAGCAGGACACATCGGGCTTCCTGTACAAGTGGTGGCTGCGCGGCGGCTGGTGGGGGGAGGTTGACAGGAGCGGAGACTACCGTCCGCCATCCGACGACGGCGACCCGGACTTTGACGCCACCAGCGTCGTCTCCACCACCGAGACGGAGTCCCAGAGTGAGGTCGGCCGCTGGGACTCGGACGACAACGAGCAGGACTGGGAAGACGAAGACGACGGCCAACGCACGCCGACGCGGCGGTCGCCGTTCGCAACGCGGGAGTCGACGCCCATGGTGGACAGCCCCATGGCCATGGCGGACCTGGCGCGGCTGCTGCACCCGCAATCGCCCGAAGAGCGTGACGAGGCGCTCGCGCTGGCCGCTCACCTGGGCTCCGACGGCATCATGACGCGGAGCCGGTTCGCCAGGCTGTCGGCGCAGCGGCGCGCGCGCGTGCTCATGCCCGCGGGGGCCAGCAGCGCCGTCGACCTCGCCGGGCGGGTGCGTCATCCGCACCAACCCCGGCGGAGCCACAAGATGTCACCCGACGAGGAGGCGCAGCTGCTCGAGCAGATCCTACTCTCAAGGCGGGCACAAGCCGCTGGTGAGGGGTCGTCGTCGTCGCCGTCGTCGTCGTGGGCGACGGGGGCCGCCGGTATGGGCCCCGAGGGCCCGCAGTGTGTCGTCTGCCACAGCTCGTCGCGCACCATCATTGTCTGGCCGTGCCGCTGCCTCAGCCTGTGCGACGACTGCAGGGTCTCGCTCGCCATGAACAACTTTGACAAGTGCGTCTGCTGCCGCCGCGAGGTCATCAGCTTCAGCCGCATCTTTGTGCCCTGAAACCGTCGGGTTTGTTATCTCTTTTTCTTTTTTTCTTTCTTTTTTGCATATAGCTAAGTGTCCTGGTCATATCATCATCCCCTTTTCGTCATGTCCTTGCTGGGTCCATTATGCATTCTTGCTCTACTTGCTCTGGTATATTCCACATCTCGCCACGCCGTCAACGCCCGGGGTTTCTTGTTTTTGTCTGTCTCTCGGTGGTAGGATGACTGTCATTACGTGTCTATTTTGGCCTCTGGGTCACGAATGGTACAATGGTAACGGCCGAGGTATACTTGCATGTTGTACGACGGGACGATAGGGAGCCGGTTATGGAGTGGTAGCGGCTCAGGGAGTGGATGAAACACAATTACTGCGTTACGGTAGGTCAAAAGTGCGGCAATATGTGCCTGTGTGTAGCTGTCACGGCATAAAGAGCATGCTGGGTGTCATTGAATTCTCAACTGCGTTCCACTGCCAAGCCACTCCCGGTCATCACATACCAGCCCACTCGACACAGAAAGTGCGGACATTGGCGCCGTCAGTCCCGCCGGCCCCCTCCCCAGGCTCCTCGGCGCCGAGCAGCAGGCCCTTCTTGACCGCGCCCGCGAGCCGCCCGGTCCCGACGAGGTCCAGCAGCTCAACCTCCTCGTCCCACCCGTAGCTGTTTGCGATGAAGTGCGCGTGGAACCGGAACGGGTCCCCCGGGTAGACACTGTACTTGCCGCCGAACCGGAGCCCGGGCGTCATGAAGTATCCGCGGCTGCTGAGGTGCGCGTAGAGCGGGCATCCCTCGGGCGGTGAGAGCTCCCGGGGCTCCTCGGCGGGCGCCGGCAGAAGCCCCGCGCTGGTTGAGGGTGTCAGGTAGACACCGCCCGGGTTGCGACGGGCATCTTTCGAGGGCACGCTGGGCGGGGCAGGCGAAGAGGATGCAAACAGGGACGGCTCGTCGGCATCGTCCGAGGCCGGCACCGCGGGCGCCGTCTCAGGCACCAAGGCCTCCTCCGCTGGCCGCTTCGCATCCTTCTTCTTGCCCGCCGCCGCGGCGCGCGCCTCCCTAGCCACCTTGGCGGCGCGCGACCGGGCCGCCGAGGCCTCCTCAATGTCTAGGCGGACCTCGACGCGCCGGTCGCGGTGGGCCTGGGCGTACAGGGCGCGGCGGCGCTCACCCTCGGCCCTGGTCAGGGCCTCGAGGTGGGCGCGGGGGTCGTCGGCGAGGTAGGCGTCGCCGCGGGCGACCAGCAGGGCCGCCTCCTCGGGCAGCAGCTCGAGCGGCAGGGCCGAGAAGATGTTCTGGTTGGGGGCCTGGGGGTTAGTGCCGACCAGGACGGAGCACATGCCGTGGGCGCGGCGCAGGTGCATCACGTCGGCCAGGTCGAAGATCAGGTACCGCCCCGCCACCTGCGAGATGCGGATCGTCTTTGTCTCGGGGGGCGGAGGCGTCGCCATTTCTTCAACCGAGATCTGCAGTCATGGTCAGCAGGCTGCCGTACAGGCTAGAAGCGGCTGTAGAGTTTGCGAAAAGGGTAGATCCGGTGGAAATCATAAGTCTCTTGAGTTCTTTTTCAACATCCAATGTTTGTCTGTGGATTGACAGATTATAAAACTTTTTGCGTAATCATTTGGATCTGGGATTCGGGATCTGGTAGAGAAGAAATCCTTACCGTGAAGCTTTGGCATTGACGTGGTGGTCGAAACCGACTTGGAGAGTCGAGTTGGGGTGGGGAGAAGAAAATGCTCGATTCGAGAGGAGCTCCAGGTGATGCAGATATTTACTGCCATGACCCATCAGGGCGGTGAACCACCAGCGTCTCGTTCAGCAGGTGTGCCCTGTAAATTCTGCCCAAGTGCGCTGTGTTGCATCAGCAGCATTCAAGTTGTGACCCCCAACCAGTGAGTCACGATGGGCGCACACCACACTCCAAACTCAAAAGTCGATGCCGTCTTTGACGGTGCTGGCCGGAGACTTTTCCTTCTGCTCATCATCCTCCATGGGCGGGAGGCTGTACGGCTGGATGACCAGGCCCCGTGAGCTGCTGAGGCTGAAGGACAGATTGTCGCGAAAGTAGTTGCCCTCGGCACCGCCGCCCCCTTTCTCGTGGTAGACGGGCAGGGTGTAAACCCTGACCATGCCCTGCGCCTTGTCTGCGTCCTTGGACGACGGGTCCTTGCCGCTCGCCGCCGGGGGAGGTCCGGCACCAATGGTGGCCGGCAGGGGCACGAGCTCGATAACACCATCGCACAGAAGCTCCATCCAGCGCGTCAGGCCGGAGCCGCGTGGATAGAGAGAGACGGGCAGGCTCAGCAGCGCCGTCAGCCGCCGAGGGTGCAGCCGCAACAGGCCGCGGAGGGAGTGCAGGAACTGCAGGACCTCGGCCGAATCGCAGGCGCTGCCGGCGTAGAGCGAGGGCGAGAGCAGGCCCGGAACGACGACGCGATGGATAGAGTCCGGTGGGGAGGAAGCCAACCTGTCCCGGAGGTGCTTGGTGAAGTGTTTGAAAGGCGAGGTGGCTAACGACACTTGGTCGTCGTCGAGAGATAGCAACAAGCCCGTGTGGCTAGATGGCACTGCATGAAACTGTCCCTTGATGGCGGACGGGCCTAGCCTTTTGGTGAGGTCGTATGAGTGACAGAATGTAGCCGAGCCCCCGTCCCTCTCCCTCACCGGAAGACTCTGGGTTCTGCTGTTACTAAGGGCTGCGTAGCGCCATGCGATCTTCATCCTGTCCTCGGCACCCGGGGCTGGCCCAGGAGGTTTGCCCTCGGACGACGATCCGGGCCTGGATGTAGACTTTGGCGACGCCAGGCCTGGGAGCTCAAACTTCCACGCCTCAGGGAACCCAAGAAGGTGCACATGGTGCCCCTGCACAAGGCCCTCGGCGGCGTAGTAGCGGAGCAGCGCGCCCGCGAAATCGGTGGTGCCTTGCTCCTCGACCAGGATCGAGGACCCCATGGGCATACCGGCATGGCCGGCCAGAAGGGCGTCCAGCGACGCAGTTCCGGTTGAAGTGGTGAGGCGACCGTCGAGAGGCGACGGGCGCAGGCCAGGGGCTAGCTGCTGCTGCGGCGGGGGCTTCTGCTGAACCTGGGCCTGCGCTAGATGCCTCGTAGATGCTGCGGCGCCCGGAACGGCACTTGGGGTGGCCGATATGACCGCGTTGCGCTTTCTAAAAGACATTCTCGATCGCCCTCGCGAGGGAAGCTGGTCCGAGTTCTAGGGGGATCTTTTTGATATGTTCCATCTCGATGGGGGTGCCGAATTTCATCCGTCTGGGAAATTCCAGTGACGGCATGCGCTTCCAGCTCACCCCTCAGCGCAACGGCTCTGAGGGGCAGTGGGGTCACGTGCCGTTCAGTGCCTGCCGCCCCGCTGAATTCCTCTGAGGTTGAGGTCATCCTGCCGGGAACGGAGCGAATCCAAGAAAAAAAATTGATCGACGCGACAACTTCGAGCCTGCCGCCCTCTTGCCCAGAAAGCGACAAAGACAACCCACCACACGGCCGCGTCCAACCTCGTCCCAACACCAAGAAGACACGCAGCGCATCCCCACAATGGCCGGCTCGACAGGCGACGCGCAGCTTTTCGAGGGCGTGTTCAAGGTGACGCACGTGGACGCGGTCAAGTACGACCGCGTCGCGCGCATCACGGCCACGTCGGACGCCGCCAGCGCCGACCCCATGGACATGACGCTCGACATCAACACGGAGCTGTTCCCCATGTCCGAGGGCGACGGCTTCCGCGTCGTCCTGGCCACGTCGCTCGCCCTCGACGGCAGCAAGGACGAGGAGAAGGGCTGGCGCGACGCCTCCAAGCTCGGCGGGCCGCCCACACTGGCCGATAATTTTGACTACGTGTGCTACGGCAAGGTCTACCGGTTCGAGGACTCGAAGAACGGAGAGCAGATGTGAGTATTTGGGTAAAAGGGCCGGGGTTCGCGGCCGGGCTCGTGCTGACCGGCCTGCCAACCTACAGCAAGGCCTACATGTCGTTTGGCGGGCTTCTGATGTGCCTAAACGGGCCCTACAAGAAGCTCACCCCGCTCAGGGTCGACTACGTCTATCTCCTCGTCAAGGGCAGCCAAGATTAGGCGGGCCCTCGGAACGGCGCCGACCCGCCGTCTTCGCCCAAACGCAGCGCCAGGCCCCATGTCTCTGCGACCAGCGGATCATTGGCTACGACGGATGAATAATGAATAATCTAAAAGAATAGATGGGAGTCCGAGTATGGTTGAGTTGGCCCCGGTATCAGGGTAGTGGTCAGGCAGGGCACGGGAACAGGAACGACGACATCCGGTCCCAGAGATGTGCTCGCCAAAGGCCTGCATGGTATATGTGAGGACGGGGACGTGGCAGTCGGATCTTGCCTATGGCCTTGTTGTTTTTTCTTGTACTGGCACCGGCAGTCCGACCTCTGCTCACGTCTGTGTGGTTTGACCAGCCAACTCGGCCACGGCGCGGTGGTGAGGCCCAGGGAAGGGAATGACCCTGTGCAGGTGCCGGACGATGTCGTCGTAGCAGGGCTCGTTGCTCCTGTTGATGATGCCGCGGCGCATGAAGAAGTCGAGCGTGACGCCGGCGCAGTTGGGCTTGAAGCGGCCGGCGGCCAGGTTGGCCTGGACGTCGGGCACGTCCATGAGGGCGAAGCTCTCGACCTCGCCGTCCTTGGGCCGCGGCGTGGTCCCCTCGGGTAGCTCCAAATCGAACACCCACTCGCACTCCGGGTACACGTGCCCCTCCTCGCCCGACCGCGCGTCCGTGACGTAGACGTAGGTGATGGCGCCCGCCGCCCTCGCGTTGGCGCGCACCACTTGCCCGGGAAGCGACGCCTCCTCGTCGGCCTCGCGCACCATGCACTCGAACGGGTCCTCGCCCGTCATCAGCCCGCCCGCCACGGCGTTGTCGAGCATGCCGGGGAACGACGACTTGGTCGCCGCCCGCGTCGGCACCCACACGCGGATGCCGTGCGGCGCCTCGGGCGCCACCACGTACGCGTTGACGTGCACCCCGTACCGCATGCTGCCCACCAGGCCGAGCGCCGCGCGCTCCATGCTGAAGACGAGCTCGCCGTCATTGTTGTTGTTGTTCATGCCGCCGGGGCCGAAGACGGGCCACAGCTCGTCCCGCCACCCCTTGACCAGGATGGGAAAGGCGGCGGCCTCGCGCAGGTGCTGCGCCACGGCGGCGACGCGGCGCGTGCGCTCGGGCTCGTCCAGGGGCTCCTCGCCCGGCCACCGGAAGACCGAGACGGTGCCGCGGGCGGCGTCGAGGCGCGTCTGGCCCCGGAGCGCCTCGGGCACCCGCAGCAGGCGGTCGTAGATGTCACGCCTCATGTAGCCCAGCGCCGTCTCGGAGCCGTCGGGTGCGGGCCACACCACGGTGTAGAGGCCCGCCATGGCGGTTCTGTGGCCGTCCGGGTCTAGCATGGGGTCGGGGAAGCTGGAAGGGCCTGTCAGCTGCCTGTCGGTGGCGTGCTGGGGGGGTTTGAACTCACGTGTTGACCCTCTTGGCTAGGTCTATGTTCTCCCAGTGGCGCTCCATCCTGTTTCTGCTATGTGCTGTCCGGGGTTCTGCTTCTCGCGGATGTCGAGATGTGTTGAGGAGGACAGGCTTGCCTGGCACCAAACGATACCTACCAACTTAAAATGCCCCAGCTCATGCAGCTATTTGACTGTATGCGAGTAATGCGTCACACTCTGCATCCACTAAGGCCCGTCAAGCGGGTGAATATGACGCCGCAGGACGATAAGACTAGCTGCAGGTCTATGTGCTTGACTGCAGACGGCCCTTGGAGCCCCACCGCAGGACTCGAGTTTGGCCGATGGATCAGTATTCATTCCCGCGTTTGACAGCCCTACGAGCGTCATCGCAGGACTGACGACGCAGGGGTCTCAGGCGAGGGAAACGTTGAACCCATTGAGATTTACAGCCAGCCAGTGTGGACCAGGCCGTGCTAGAAGCCAGCCGAACGCACCAGAAGTCTCTCCACCATCCCCGCCGGCGCCGCCGCAGTGAACAAAGCCCCCTGAACAAAAGGAGGCAAAAAGGGCACATAAACGGCCAACACCAAATCACGTCATAGCGCGGCGAAGGCGTAGCAAAGACTACAATACACCAGTTCTATATACAGCTACTCGAGAGTAGCCACAACCACAGACACAACAACAACAACAACAAAAATGGCACAGCCCCTCTTCGGCCTCGTGCCAGCAAACCTCCCCTGCATAACCGCCCCGGCCGAGACGCCGTCCCCGACCTCCTTCATATACTCCATCGGCGCCGGCGCCGCGCCCTTCTCGCACCTCGTCGTCTTCCTCCTGCCGGGCGTCGCGCTGCCCGACGGCACCGCCGCCGCCATCTACCTGGTCACGCCTCCCGTCAGCCCCGGCTCCCCGCCCTCGTCCCGGTTCCTGGGCGGCGTCGGCCCGGGCAAGGAGAGCGCCATCTTCAACCTGCGCTCCTCTTCCTCTGCCGCCCCGCCTAGCGCGGACCAACAACAACAACAACAACAACAGCAACAGCAGCAGCAGCAGCAGCAGCAGCAGCAGCAGCAGCAGCAGCAGCAGCAGCCCGTGGTAATCGGTATAAGCATCGAGCCCGCCGACTCGGTCGCCGCGCGCATCACCGAGATCAAGGAGGCCAGGGGAGCAACAGCAGCCGGAGACGGCAACACCAACAGCGCCCTGGTCGTCGCCAGGCCCTCGACTTTGGTCCTGGCCCAGCGCATCATCCAGAACGCCTTCAACTTCCTGGCCAGCTTCAGCGGCACCACGGCCGGCCAGGTAGAGGTCGTGCCGCTCAAGGCCTTTGAGGAGTGGTGGCGCAAGTTCGAGGGTAGGGTACGCGCCGACCCGGGCTTTCTGGAGCGCGCAGAAAACTAGTCGCTATGCTGGGGTGTCACTTTTCAACATTTGGTCTGTTTGGCGTATCGGGTAGGAGTTCTCACGGTTGCATGTTTTCAATGGCTCGGGAACAGTACAAGTATATCACAACGTAAATTCTATCATCAAGACAAACAACTATCAGGAGGCGTCATTGCCGTAAAGGGCATCCTTTGGCATAATTCTCAGTTTGCCAGCTCGGAGCAGTCCACGTTCAACCCTGAGCGGTCCTGTTTTTGTAACTCCCGAGGCGGCATCAATAAGCTCGTACAGAAGAAAGCAACACGTATACAACAAACTCAACAAGCCATCTGGAACATTGCTCGTGCGGAAGTGTAATCGCTGCCATCCAGTTGACGCCTTTTTTCTCCGTGGGCCCAAGTCTGAAAGAAAATAACAAGATCCCCCATCCCAACCAAGCAGAAATGTACAAATAAAGACGATAAAGGGTAAGAACCGTATAAAATAAAGAGTCGTAGTAGAAACAGCAGTAATCGATACCGACAGGACCGAAGACCAAAGAGTCTGCATGTTCTAGATCATGCTGTCTTGTTTTGTGCGAGGCCCGCCATAAAGAAGCGAATAGAAAAAGAAACCGAGCCTGGCGGCAGGCTTCCCAGCTTGATGGGGAGGGGATAAGAAAGTGAATCCAAAAATAATTGAAGAGCGTAATATGAACACCAAACACCGGACAAAAACGACGAGATCAAATCGCGTGTCATGTCTCCTGGAGTGGCGACTTCATGGGGCTTTTCAGCCTCGTGGGGCTGCTGGCACGACTCCGGCGGCCGGCGTTGGACATCTGGAGCGTGGGAACCAGCCGTTCGCGGCTCTCGGTCCTAACCACAAGGCCGCTACGGTCGATAGCCGACCCGGCCCTGAATTCGTCGTACACGTCCATGTTGAGTTTGGGCGTCGCGAGCCCGGACGAGCGGCCGTTGCCCGAGATTGACACGACCTGGCGCCGGATGCCAGACGAAGCAGATCCCTCGCTGCTGCTGCTGTCTGACCCCTCGCTTCCGTCCGAGTCAATGTCGCCGAGCGCGAACTGCTCTGCCTCGCCGTCCTCTAGTAGGCGTTCGTAGTTGGTGGTGCCCGCCCGCCCGAAGAGCTTGTTGCGAAGGCCCGTCAGCCCGCGGCCGCTTTTGCGAGGGCTGCCTGCCCTGCGCGAACGCCGAGTGAAACCGTTGATCTTGGAGAAGAGCCGTAACCTCCGGTCCTTCTTCCTAAAGATGTAGGCAAGCACCACGAGGATCAAGATGAAGAGGAGGAAGCCCGAAGTCGACTTGGATCGAGCCTTTTCGAGAATGTCATCGGCAGCGTCACCCCAGTCGTCGCCGTCGCCTTCCTGTTGCGAGATGGGGTTCCAGGTGGAACCGGCATGGTTGAAGTCGTCGGGGACACCCTTCGCGTTGCTGCCGAAGCCTACGGGCAGGGCCTTGGCGGAGGTCTCGGCAGGCGGGACCTGGCCGGCGGCATAGAGCACCATCTTCCCCAGGGTCCAGCTGACCTCGACGCCATCGATCGTGTCGACCGCCTTGAATGGATCCAAAAAGCCCTTGTCCTTGGCAGTCTCCAGTGCGCCCTTGGATACGTTGTGCGCGTGGGGGGTTTTGTCCAGACCGAGGCGCGGGATGCCGATACCTTCGTGCAGCACGTTGAGCAGCCAAGAGGCCTTGAAGCATGCCTCCTGGGCGTTTCTCGCCTTGTGCTTCCCGCGAGTGTCCAGCTTCGCCTCGATGTCGTCCCAGTCCTGGTTGCAAAAGTCGCGAACCCTCTGCTGATATGTCGTGAAGTCGTAGGCCGTATCGCCCTTGCCAAAAACGCCGTGGGTCGTGTGCCAGTACTCGGAAACGCCAACAAAGTGGTTCACGTCAAAGTCGATGGCGGGTACGTGTTGGCCGTTGAGCAGGCACGGGTGGTCGACACAGGGGGCGTCCTTGTTCAGAAGCGGCCTCGTCTTAACCTCGCATTCGTTGAACAGGCCGGTGCCGATCAGGGTGCGGTTGCGGCTGGCTGAGCCTTGGACGACCTCGCCATGCATCGTTGTCCTCAGCCCCTTGGGCATGCACGGGTCCGGGATCTCGGAGCTTCCCGCACTTGTGCCCTCAACTAGGCTCTTCACGTATCGCTCCCTGGCCTGGTTCACGCCGAAGCCGAGCCATGTCGTGGTAAAAACCTTGTGCTCGGCCGGCTGGCCGTCCAAAGTGCGCAGCCGAAGCAGCTTCAGGTCGTCGGCGTGCTTCTGGGCTTCGGTGGAGTTGGGCGCGAAGGCGATCTGGGCCGAGGCGCCGCCCATGTCGAGGAACCCGTACGTATGGTGGCCCTTTCCGTGCTGGTGGTTGTCGGGCCGGTCGAAGCCACCCAGGAGGTAATTTGAGGCGACCCAGCCATACAGTCCTTCGGTCTCGCCCTTGATGACCTGGATGTGGAGGTCGCAGTCGGGGAGGGAAAACATGGTGTGGGTTTGGAGGTACGAGCAGATCTCGCCGAGCAGAGCCTTCTGCTGCATCTGGGGCAGGAGTCGCATGCCGGCGGTAGCCATCAGGAAGATTGGGGTGTCGGCCTGCTTGTGTTCGGGAACGTACTTGACGGCATGGGCGACGAGGTCCTCGAGGTGCTCGGGGCCGACGTCGGATGGGTTGCTGCCAAAGGTCGACACGCCAGGGCGCGTCTTCTTGGTCCATTTGTCCTTGGTCTCGAGCTGCGGTAGCCGCTGTAGCTCCTCCGGCGAGGCATGTTTCCGCGCCTTTGCTGGATCCTTCCACCTGTAGATGTGTAACCGCGTGCCGGAGGAACCCGCGTCAAGAATGACTCCGTATCGCCCTGGGAGCAAACAAGACAGCGTTAGCACACTGCAGACGCAGAGGCCCGAGCAATGGATTGCTGACGGGACACAGGTCGCGCCGAGGCGGTTGGGGCGAGGCTTGGGTCGTACATTTTTTGCCCATGGGGACGGTTGGGGTCCTCGAGGGACTCGATTAATTGACGAGACAATTTGCCAATAAGGAGGCCCGAGTAACAGAGACAAAGAATAATTAGGGGGTGTTGGAGTCGGTTGGTTGACTGGTAGGGATCGACATGGAAGATTCGTAGGAGAAGGAGGAGACGAGGAGCAGCCAAGAATTGCTTGCTCACAGCTGCGGTGCGATGGCGCGATGCAGCCTTCCCGGGCAAGCAGGCGCAGTCGTGCGAGATAAGGGATGGACGTCACAGAGCTCCCTGCCTGGCGGGAAATGGGATGAATGTGGGCCCGTGTTGTCGGGCTTGGTCAAGCTTGCATGGAGCCACAAAGCATAAGCCAGATAAAAAAGAGGGGTCGACGGCAATACGAGAAAAGGGCAGAAGATGGACGCAGGTTGATTACGAGCGAGCGGGAGGCTGTGAAAGTACAGAACAGAGACAACGGGCGTCGAGCGAGAGTGAGAAGGGGAAGCCCCGAGAAGGAGAAGCAGAATCAGAAGCAGATGCGCGCCGACAGGGCTGTGGATACAACGAGATAAGGCCCCGGGCAACGAGCCGATGGGGAGGGAGACAAAGACGAAAGGAGGAGCAGAGGAGAGGAGAGAAAAAAAAATAAACAGAGGACTTGGTTGGTCTCGCGCAGGGCCCTGGTCGACATTAGCTCCTCAATTGCCTGCTGCTTGCAGATGCAAAGCACCGGGGCGGGGCTCCAGCTAAAATTGTGCACAAGATTGTGAACCCACCCTTTCCCACACTGCCCGAATGCCCGACCGAGAGGGCTGGGGTTTTTCTTTTTTTGGCATCCCCTATCCGCCCGCATAAGTCCGTGGGGAAGATCGCCACATGGTTTGCCATGCTGGCCAGATAGGCCGGTACAGGCCGGTCCCTGCTGGTCAACACTTATGCATAAGTACCTCTCTATCGGCCGGGCTGTGGCGTCGTTGGCGTGGTTGCATCTGAGACAGCGGCCATCAGGAGCACAGTGGGAGCTGTCTGGGAATGACTGGGCTAGTGGTGGCGCTTGTGGGGACATTGGGCAGTGCGCTCTTGCTAGCTACACGTATTCGCACTGAGCAGCCGATATCTTCCATCAACTAGCGGGTTTCTCGCATGCAGGCACAGCCGCATAAAACACCCCTCCGACTCGGGCGCCACTGGAGGATGCTGATGAATGAATGCGATGGGATTTGCTTTATTCGAGACGGTACTTTTCAATCCGCCCTAGCGTCAATACGAGCCCTTTTTTTTTTTTTTGCTGCATGAAAACGCCTTGGATTGAACACTAGCAGCAAAGGGCGCCATTCCCAGCCGCTGTCGAGGCACCGAGGCCCGCAGTCTGCCTGAGCTGACAGTTTTCCCGCTGCAGCCAACGCGACACCACCGGGCTTCAAATTCATGTCGGCTTGCGGTGCATCACGCCAGCGGCAGCCTATCGTGCCACGTCCAAAAGGACGGGGTGGTCAGCAGAGTCACCCCCAACGTCCGAAATCGCACCAGCTTGCGTTTTTTTTTTTTCTTTCTTACCTGGTGGCTCGGGAAAATCAGCGTGTCGGCAACGACCACGTTCTCTCGTCGGCCCGCGACAAACACAACCACCTCGGCGATGTCGTCGGGCGTGAGCGGATCACAGCCGCTGGTTGGACCAAGAATTGTCAATCAGTGACGAGAAGAAAAAACTTGCTTCCCGCCTTCCGAAACGGACGAGGCGTCGCTGTAGTGGTCGTAGTGCGCCTTGTGAAACGGCGGGTAAGGGTTCGTGACTTACGCGTAAACCGCATCGGCCTTGGCCTTGTCTCCGTTGAAGCGGACGACGGAAAACTCCTGTGTTGTGGCCGTGGCCTTGTGTCAGCTACTCAGCCGCTTCTTGTTTCCACCCACAAAACCACCCGCCAAGACAACAACCAAACAAACCCACCGTCTCTACCTGGCCCGGGTCGACCTCCATGACGCGGATGTGGGTGGCGATCAGCTCCTTGCGCAGGCTGTCGCTGAAGCTGCGCACGGCGGCCTTGGTGGCGCAGTAGATGGACCCGCCGGCGTAGGGCTCGCGGCCGGCGATGCTGCCGATGTTGATGATGTCGCCCCGGCCGCCCTCGGGCCGCTCCTTGAAGACGGGCAGCACCGCCTGCGTCAGGTTGATGAGCCCCGTGACGTTGGTCGCGAACATGACGTTGATGTCCTCCTCGGCGATGGCGGGGGCCTGCGCCACGCCCTTGACCAGGCCGCTGCGATTGCGCTGTTATTACCAGAGGACCAATCCCGAGTGAAGCCACTTGCGAGCGAGGGGGCGGGGGTCGTTACGCATTGTTGACTAGCACGTCAATGTCGCGGAACTCGTCCGGCAGCGCCTGCACGAACCCCCGGACCTCGGCCGGGTTGCTGACGTCGAGCCGGAACGGCAGCACCTTGACGCCCGGCCCGACCTCGGCTGCGATCTGGGCCGCCACCTCCTTGAGGGTGTCGATGCGCCGCGCCGTCAGCACCAGCTTCAGGTCCTTGGGGCTGGTGCGCGCAAACTCAAAGGCGCAGCTGCGCCCGATGCCCGACGACGCCCCCGTGATGACGATGGTCTTGCCCTCGAGGCGTTTCGCCATGGCGCTGCTCGACATTCTGGCGGGTGCTGCTGCTGCTGCTGCTGCTGCGAGTACCGATGTTGGTATGGCTATAGTACGCGGGGGGCGTGGGGGTCTCTGCGAGAGGACGGTGCGGAGGGTTGTGACGGCTGTCCTTGCAGCTGAGAGTAGCATGTGAATCTTTTGGGGAGAGTGCTAATCAAGGCCGCGAATTGGCTGTGTGCCGTATCTCATGCGTCGAGATGGAGATTTCACACCGGGTGTCGCATCAACACGGCTCCATGTGTCAGTCATCTCGTTATCGTTGCCGCCCTCCGATTCCGTCATACCTTTTTAGCTCTTTCGCAATGCCCGACCCCGCAAACGTGGGATCCGAGGGGTCAAGGAAGCACAGCGCCCCGCCGGAATCCATCGATGGCATCAAAGTCAGCACGCAAGCGCAGTATAGATATCGAATAAGAATACCACTAGCGCTGTGTAAAACATGCCGCGCTCCTAGACGCCGACGCTCATACAATTCAATAATATCCAAAAAAAAAAAAAAAAACAGCAGCAACAAAGTTGTCACACCTCTGCCGACGCAGTTCCCGGCGTTCGCTTGCCCTCCGTCCTAGACCCGCCAATCTCCCCGCTAGGAGACGACGCCACGTCCGCGCCCCTCTGGCGCCTCCTCTCGAGCTCGTCCTGTGCGTGCCGCTTCCTTGCCTCCAAGAGCGAGACCCGCCCGCGTTGGTACGAACACAATGCCGCAATCACCCCCAACGCGCCCACCGCGGCCGCGAGGATCATGTCGTGCCGGAAGGCATCTGCGTACGCCTGGCGGACGAGATCCATGATGTGTTGCACGTCTTGTGTGCCGCCGCCGCCGCCGTCAGCAGTGACGCCAGCCGGCCCGCGCGTCTCGACGGCGGCCAGCTGCGTCACGGTGAGAACGCCGCCCAGCTGCCGCTGCACCTCGTCCGCCAGCATGACTGAGGATGCCGCGATCCCGAGGCTGCTGCCCAAGACGCGCATTTGTGCTGTAATTCCCTGTGCTGGGGCTGTTGGCAATATCCCACGTGGTTAGCTCCAAGTCTGGGGCTAGATCGGACGCTGGGGTCTTTCGTACCGTGTTCGCGAACCGGCGCCTCGACAATGCCAATCATGGTAGAGCAGCTGGCCGAGATACCAAAACCGAGCCCGATAAAAACCAGGAACCCGAGGGCCTTCGGATCCAGCTCCTGAGAGTCCGAGATGGTGGTCTCGAGCGCGGTCCCCAACACCATGAGACAGCTCCCCGCCACGAGGGTCTCGCAGATGCGATTCTTGTCGCGGCTGATGGCACCACCTGCAAAGCTACCCGCGGCGACGCCGGCCAGCATGGGCAGCAGCAGCACCCCCGCCATCAGGCTCTCGCGCCCGTTAACGACCTGTAGACGTAACGGCATCGAGAAGAGCGCCACGAAGAAGGCGAAGCCCATGAGCGCTGTGTTGAACAAAGTCGCCAGGTAGACGTGGTTGCGCACGAGCGTGAGCGGGAACGCCGCCATGAGGCGGTCGGCGCCCCCGCCGCCCCGCGACTCGATGAACCACTCCCAAACGAACAGGAGCACCCAGCACGTCCCACCGACAGCGAGGGGTGCGATGAAGCCCGAGTCCTGCCAGCCGTGCGAGTTCCTGGCGACATTTTGGAACGCAAAAGTCACGAGAACTGCTGCTGCGATGAGAAGTGCCGAGCCCACATAATCAACATCTTTCCAGGACCGTTTCTCGATGCTCGGGAGATGGTGTTCTTTCGGCCAGCTGAGATAGAAGACGGCTAGAGAGACGGTGCCGATCGGTCCGCTATCAGATGGGCCAAGAGTTAGCCCGGGGATGCCAAAATGAGGGAGAGGGGTTCAGGGGTTAGTCGTGCTTGTGGCCTACTTGATCCAGAAAACCCATCTCCACGAAGCGTACTGCGTGAGGATGCCACCCAACACAGGTCCCAACACGCCGGCGACGGCAACAACAAGACCGGCGAGCGCGGCGATGTACTGCTTCATGTGGTTCGGAGCCAGCTCGGGCCAGATGATCATGGAGAGCGAGTAGAGGCCGGAGCCGCCCACGCCCTGCAGCGCTCGACAGACGAGGAGTTGCTCTAGGCTCTGGGCGCATCCGCAGCCGATGGAGAAGGCGAGAAATACTACGAAGGCGGCCAGGAAGGCATCGCGACGGCCGGCCACATCGGCGATACGGGCGAACAGGACTGCGCAGCCGAGGTACGCGAGCGTGTATGACAGTACCACCCAGTTGATGCGATCCAGCGACTCGAACTCCTTGCCAATGGCAAGCAGACTGGTGGCGATGATGGAGGTGTCCAGCATTGCCATCAGTAGACCCAAGGAGATTCTAGACCAAAATGGCGGCCTGTCAGCGGAACCTGCGCTGAGGCTAAGCAGGCAGCAGATGCCGAGTAAAGTCAACAACATCACACTTACCCGACACTGAGAAGCCAGAACCGGACCGGCGGAAGGTCCGAGTCGATCAAGGCGGCATCGGCTCGGTTGATGGGCTCTGTAGAACTGGAAACGGGTGCCTCTGGGGACGCTGCCATGTCGTGGCGCCGGGGAGGGTCCGCCGGCGTGGCACTGGAGCGGGTAGCTGCGTCAAGAATGGTTACACAGAGGCTTTTGAGCCGCAGGGAGATAGTGAGGGTGGTAGGTTTGTGCTGTGGCCTTGTTGAACCAACAACAACATCATCGAAGTGCCACAGAGCGAGCAGGGCGATATATACGGGCGGCGGCGTTTGTCTGCTGAGCGGCGTGGGCGATGATGCAAGCTTCTAGACGGCCCATGTTTGTACCGGCGTCATAGAAGGACGAAGCTCAGGGGCGGTGAACACAATGCATATGTGCCATCGAGAGGGTCTGGATGACGGGCTCGACGCCCAAGAGAAAACGGGAGCGAGTGCGAGTGCTTGTGGGGCCAATATGGAGATGATATGCCGCAGCCAGAGAATCGGAGTGATATGTAGCCGGCTTGTTGCCTGGTTATGCAGGGGGCTTTTGACCCCGCCGGTCCGGTGAGGCAGGAACTGAAGCCTCCTGGCTGAGCATGGCGCCCACACGCAGTACAGCATGAGGATGGGATACAGGGCGGGCGCCCGGGTCCTCGTGGCATCGTATGGACATGGCTGGCGGGGAGTCGTTCGAAGCTGGTTTTGTGGCGTGTGCCAAAGGGAGGACGTCCCTTTCGGCCGTTAGCCGACACCCTGGCGCGGCCATAAACATGCTAGCGGGCGAGGGCGGGATGCGGTGATGCACCTGGCCCTGCTTTTGCTTAGCTGCTTTTGTTTAGCGAAAGCGACGCTAGCAAGTTTACTCGGCCGAACGAACCAAAGGCAGCTAGCCTGTCGGCCAAAAGGGAAAGGTGGACTCCGAACGGTCAAGACTAGCGGTAGACAAGATGCATGTGCGGGATTCCGAGTTTAGTGTTGGTCGTGGCTTGAAGGTCTCGTCATGACGAGAAGCCAATGCAATCCAAGGCAATATCCATACCAGCTCATTAGCACAGACCCACTGCCTGCACCGTTGATGGCTCATTCCCAACCAACAAGCCCCATCTCCTTTCGGCCGTTACTTCCTCGGTTCTCCCACCGCCTGGGGTTTGCCAAGCCCGAGCTCTCAAGGCGCATCTGAGCATTTACGTCCGTATAGGTAGGTAGGTACCTGCCTTGCCCAAGTAGCCATGCCAGGGCTGGCGATCTGCGTCCGTAATCTCAAACACATTCAAGATCCGACACCTAGCCGTCTTCGCACATACCAGCACCTGAAAAGCCGGACGACAACATCAAATCGGGTCCCCATCGCTGACTTGCCGACTTGCCCCCTTCAACCCCAAAGGTTTGGGGGCTGCCGTGAGTACGAGGTCAGCATTGAGCATCCTCTGTCTGCGGCGTTGCCTCACCACACTACGCAACGTTGCAACCTGTCATCCGGGGCCTAGCACCTTTATTAAACGCCCCCAGGTTTGCTTGCAATTGCTCCCCACGGCTCGGCCTTTATGCCCCCGTCGCTCGGTCTCTATCCTCGCTCTCCGTCGCCCGAACCCCCACCCCGGCCGGGCCCGACGGTGTCGAATCTGGGGCCGTTCTCTACGGTAGAGTCACCACGTGGGATAAGCCGATGGCCCCATCTTCATGTTGCTGACACATCCACCACAAGGATCGCTGGCTGTCTCGCCCACTCAAGCGCGATAGCTCTTTGTGCAACGTAGGACCACGGAGGATGGTGGTAATCGCAACATGGCCCCGGGCAGTAAGGCTGTCGCCGTGCGAGCGCTGCAGTACATCGGGCCAAGAAGAGACACGACAAAACATGATCGGACAGACTCTGGAGCATCGCATCCTTTTCCCTCGCCTCCCAAGCCTGGCCAATGGCCGCAGCATAAACCGCGATGTTTCGTGGCTTTCCTGGGGCTGATGCGCGTCAACGGCGGCCGCAGTCGATCCTTCCCGTCGTTGCCTCCGCGGCCTCGGTGCCAACCGGCTTTCCCCAGCTTCACCACGCTATACCCGGGCTGCCTGGCGTTGGCTCCCGCAGAGATCGCGACCAGACAGGTGTGACCGTTGGGGCCAAAAAAATAGCAAGGCTAGAGAGCTGCATGCGCTCTCTCGGACTCTCTCTACTCCCTTTGCTGCTTGATGCGTGGCCGCCACGGCTAAATTTGGACAAACACACGACCTGCACTTGCGCAGCCTGCCCATGTCCGTTATTTTGACATCAACACCTCGATGAATTCGTCCCCTTTTGGCCCGCCACCCCGCTGTGATGGTTGGTGTTGCATATGGGCGCATTGTACAGACTGGAAGCGCCGGCGATGCTAGCGCATTGCCTGGCAAGGCTCTGAACCCCATCTATACAACTTCCCAAAAAAGTACTTTCTGACTGCGCCCCATATCTTACCTCAGCATCTAACATCACATCAATACCCCCTTTTACCCCTGCGTATTGTCAAGCGACAGAAAAAGCTTGCACTGTTCGAACATCAGCTCTCAAGGTCAAAACCGTGCAGATTGTCCAGCCTGCCGATATCTTCTAGTCGCCTTCCATACAGCACACTAGCAGCCGCTATCCCGCAAATAGCCCAACCTTTCCTTGTAGACTACCCTGTATCCACGTGTTTCGCCGTGGAAGCGCCCGGCTCCCTTGGTTGATTGCCCATTTTCGCCATCGCGCTTGCATCTTGATGTTCAGGTCCTGAAACGAAACACAATAGTTAGGCATCGAGGGCCCGTCTCAAAGAAAGGAGCCGTTCTATTCTAGGAACTAGAAGATGGCTTGATATACTGTGAAGTCTTCCCTACCCACGCCCGTCCGCCCCTATCAAATACCATATCTGACTACTTGGGTAGCGTAGCCGTCGCCCCGAGGGCCAACATCACGTTCCCAACCACAGTGCGGCACCAGCGCTTCGCGAGCACGAGGCTGGCAGGCGGCGGAGCCCGCTCGTTGTACACTGCCGATATCTCACCGGGTGCTCCCAGACGGCTGTCATGATGGCCTGCCGCTGTGACCCACTTCGCCCCTTGCTTTTGCTCCTTCCCGTCATCCCATCTTTTTGGGGTTGCCGAACTGCAACGTGAGGCGATGTCACAGTCGAGTGCTCGTGGCACCCCGGCAAACGCCCCCAAACATCCCCGGGGCCGGGTATGACCTGGTATCGGACCGCTGGGGGAAGGAAGGTCTCGAGGATCTTGGGGGACTTTGAGTATCGAGATACACATGGCGCGGAAGTGCCTATGCCATTCCCGGACACGAGGGTTGCACATCGCCTGCGTGAAGAGGGGGTGGCTGCCCTGAGCTCACAGCCTCGGCACGTCGTCGGGTCAGCCACCACATTTGGCATGCACATCCCAAACCAACTGCGCGTCTTTGTTATTTCAGTTTCAGATGCAACTGCACGGCGGCTGTGCTCCTTCGCTTCCGCTCTCGATGCCGTAGCGTAGCCGCTGATGGTGTGAGGCCATCTCTCTACTTCGTCTTGAGGCCTAAGGCCTTGTGCACGGCGGCTCTTGTTGGCGGCTCTGGTCAGCGGCTCTGGTCGGCGGCTCTGCTCGGTGGCACGCAGGCGGAGCCTTGGGTATCCTGTTCTGGGCTCACTCGATGTGCGATATAAAGAGGCGCTCTCCAGGAGGCAGGATGTTGACGTTCATGTGAATGCTCTAATCATCCGCCCACACCCAGCCTAGCATCTTGGACAAACATAACCTTGACGACTTCCTTCCACGTACGCACCCACAGCTATCACAGCCAACCTCAGTCTCGCCAGTCATGGATTTCACACGCAAGAACTCGGCCACTTCCACCCAGTGCTCCTCATGCGGCGGGGCTACCTGGGGCTCGGCTTCCCAGGCGTAAGTCAGACCGTGCCGAAAAAGCCAGGACAGCATCGTCGCCGAGCGGTGTCATATGTCGGGACTAACAAGGCTTCCCGGACACCAGCAGCGGTGGTGCTTCGTCCCAGAACGGCCAGACGCAGACCGGAACCCACCAGCCGTCCTCGTCCTGCATTTGCGCTCTGCCCTGGAGGAGTGATGCCGGGGCCGGCTCGTCCGGCCGCGATGGCCCGCGGTCGTCCAACAGCACCCGAGCTGGCTACAGTAGCGGCGGCGGCGAGCGGGGCAGTGCTACTAGCGATGGCTATGACAGAAACACGTCACCCCCTTCCAGCGCCACCGACGGCATGGACTACCAGCTTCAGGGAAGCTCTGATGCCTACTCCCAGCGCTCGTCAACTGGCTACACGACCTACTCCCAGTACTCATCGACGGGCTACGAACCCCAGGCTCAGTACCCGTCGGCGGACTACTGGTGTCCTCGCAGCAGCGCCGGGGCTCAGGAAGCGCCCGTGTCGCCACAGCTCGAGCGGTTCCAGTCCTCGACCAGCCGCTACGACAACCCCAGCGTCTGGATGGGCGGCGGCTACAGCGGCCTGGACCCGTCCCAGCAGATGCTCGACATCGGCGGCGGCAGCCCGGGCACCTCGCATGTGGAGACTCACCTCGAGGAGATCAACCAGCGGCTGCCGCGGTCGTGCCAGCCGGGCAGCAGTGCCCTGACCCGCCGCAACAGATGAACCGAGGATTGATTCTTGCCGTGCACATCGTCAACGCCGCCTATGGGCCCTTGCTGGAGAAGCTGCTGTTTTGATTTGTATATCTCTTTTCACTCTACCCTCCTTGATCTCCGGCGGACCTCTTGTCGTCAGCCGGAGCCTACTGTTTGTGCTTATTCATGTATCGTTAGTTTTATCAAAGGCTGGCAAGGTTTGAAAAGGAGGATGGTGTCTTTACAGGCTAGATCAGGGATGGCTTCATTTTATTTCCATGTATCAACGTATTGCGTGTATTTCTTTCTGTCAGCGCTCACTTTCATACAGTGTTTCGGCTGTCCTTACCTAGATGGAAAATGGGTAGTTCGATTGCTAGGTTAACAAGCAGTTTCTTTTCGTCGATTTACAGCATGGGCGGCGAAGTCGGCGTCGTATGACTCTTTCCAGTGAAGCACTTCCGTCTCGGGCCGTCGGGCACGCCCGGAACCCCCGACACGGCTTGAAGCCCATCAACCAGCCAGCCGGCGACGCGGCCGCTGTTCGCGGCGTCCAGCGCGCCGACCAGTGGAGGCCGGGAACGGGAAAACACAGTGTGCCCTGGCCCCCTAGCCCCATGGCCCCATAGCCCCATGGCCGCAAAGGGGAATCTCGTCGACGGCGATGCTTCGGGGTTTCCACAACTGCCCGCCGATGGGCGCCAGACAATAGCGATTCAAGACATTGTCCCTTTCCTCTTACCTTACCCCCTTTCCCCCTACTCCTCCCCCTGGTTGAGGTGGCGGGAAACAAAACCGAGGAAGATCACGTCTGTCAGGCTGTCAGTCTGTCAGTCTGTAGTCCGCCTGCATGCCAGCGCGCCCGACTTGCAGCTGCAAGTATGCAAGGCCCAAAGGGCGGGCCACCTGAAACATCAAACGGCAGCTCCTGCGTCTGTTGGCCAGCGTCGAAATAGGAAAGAGGCCGGTTCCAGAACGGCAGAGGTATGGTGCCTGTTACCCACGTGCTCGCGCGCGTTGTTTGAATGTGTGATGTTTGCGTGTGTGTGTGTGTGTATGTTTGTTGTTTTTGTGTGTGTGGACTGTCTTTCTGCGTGCATATCGCTTTTACTTTGGCCTCGGCAGGCACCGCAACCCCGTGCAAGTCGCGCGTTCTTGTTGACCCTTGTTCTTGTGTCGTCCCCGAGATTCGGACCGATCAAGCGAGCAAGATCCTTCAATCTTTGTTTCTCCTCCCGTTTTGTGGTCCACAGCGAAGGATCGAGGGAAGCAATGCGCGTGCTCTCCCAGCCCTCCCCCACCTTGTGCGTGCCCCTGGTGGGCCGGAACCCCACTAAAGCTCCTGGCAAACAGACTCCCAACGTCTCTCGAACCATCAATGCCGTGGCGTGCGCATCAAATCTGGCACAGGAAAACAGGACACGGGGCAGGGCTTGCAGGCGATGGTGGCACTTGACTTTTCTTTCTTTTCTTTTTTTTTGTTTTGCTTTTTTTTGGCGGGTTCGCTGTGCCAGACCACAAGGCCGCCGGGCTCATCGCCCCCATGATTGTGAGTTGGTTCCTAGGTTCCCCTGTTAAGAGCCGAGCGAGGGGCCCTCCCCCAGATCGACAGGTTCGGTAGTGCTTGCGGGGGGGTATTAGTGATTGAAACACATATAAGCTGTGTTAAGATCGCGGGAGCACAGAAGAAGAAAAAAACAAGAATAGTCTCAAGGGATCGAGATCGCAACCAGGACCGAGCGTCAAGCCTTGTGTTTCTCCTGCTCGTTTCGTTTATTGCTGTGCGTGTATGACGGCAGTTGTATGACGACAGTGTCAGTTCACTGCCTGCCGCCAAATAAGGCTACCATCTCGTCTGTTCCTAGTGGGTGCACCGGCCAGCGACAAAACTGGGGAATGGACAGGGGAAGCTAAGCGAAGCTCCCAATTGGCCGTTGCGCGCAGGGGTGTTGGGTTGCAGCCGTTTTTTTTTCTCAGGCCTAGGCCAACGCAACGAGGGGCAAATCCTGCACTAGCAGGAATGCACAGAATGCAAAGAAGGCGCAGAATGGGCCAGAGTGGACAAGGGGAGGGGTCGAGGGGCGTGGTTACCTCACCAAAAAGAAGGATAGAAAAAGGGTACAAGAGCAAACACACGAGCTACAACCAGGTACTTTGCAGCCGGCCAGAACGACACGCCTATATCAGAACCGTAAATTCAACCATGGGGGACGGGGGTGCCCTGACGGAAAACGACCAACCCACGCAAGCATGACGCCCAAGGCGGCGGGCGCGCAGTGGAACCCAGCGGCGTGCAGCGGCTGGAACAAGACACTGCACCATGTGCACAGCTCGCAGTGTGGGGAAGGATGCAAAGAGGGGAAGAAGGGGGGGCGTGAAGAAGAGGAAAATTCAGGCACACAGGCACAGGGGTACACACAGAAAACACGGCGTGACTGGATGGTGATGGGGCAACACTGGCCGAAGGGGCACAAGAGGAGAAAAAAGAGGAGAAAAAAGAGGAGAAAAAGCAAAGAGGAATCCCACTGAGCCATTCAACCAAGCCGGCATTGCGGCGCCACGTTCCTCGGCGATGCACATCCCCAATGTCTCGGGGCGTGGGAGGGGTGTGGCTTTGAGACATGATCAAAAAAGAACAAGTTGGCATGGGAAGATGCAGAAATCAAGCCATTGTGACGACGACGGCGGGCTGACGGGCGAAAGGGGCCTTTTCTCGCCCAGTCTTTCCCGACATTGGACCAAAAGGTCTGCATACTACCAGTGTTTCCGAATGGAACCAAAGAGATCAAGACAGGCCGGTAGCCGGCGTGGGCTGGCCGTCCAATACACACCGTAGAGGGCCGGAGAGCGGCGACGCCAGCGCGCCTCGCGGCGAGGAGCGAAGGCGGCGAGGTCGAAGCAGGGAGACTGCTGCGATGCCAGGCGGGTGGTGGCAGAACCGACAAAGCCGTTGGAAAGGCAGGCTGCAGGACGCCAACCAGAAGCCTCCCACTGCCGTGGCCCCGTCGTCATTGCCTGTGACGTTTTGCCTGCCGCGTCTTTCCCCGGTCTCGCTTCCCACATTCCCACAGGGTGGCGGATGGGAGCGAGCGGGTAGCGGCAGACAGGAGGGTTTCTGGACAAGCCACCGCCATCAGCCGCCTGCCATGTCCCGTCAATGTTTACCGGGAAGCGGATCCCTCGCGCGCGCCCTTTTATGCCGTGATTGATGGCTTTTCAGGCCGGTGGCGATGTGGTGGCGGCCAGCCGGCTATAGGAGTTGTAGAATAGACGTGATACAAGGCGAACAGGCAAGAAAAAGATATATGCGTCCATCACTGTATCCCTTGAGATGGTGACGCGGCCAGCCGTCGAAGCAATCAAGAGCCAGCCAGGATGAGGCCGGAAGCGCTTCCTAGGGGATCGTCCGGACGCCCTGCTGTTCCCGAGAACGGATCCCGGAGGGCGACCGCGGACGCAACTCCCCGGGGCGGCAAGTGCGGCGGCAACAAGGAGCTGAAAAGGCCGGGCTGCGTGCCTTGGCCCTTGTGGATTGGAGGGAAGACGACCTGGGAGTTCGCGTGACCCGCAGCCCCTCCGTTCCCTGCCTGGCCATGGCATCCAAGCAATGGGCTGCTTCTGTGCGCTTGCAGCAGAACAAATCTGCCGGATGCGAGAGTGACATGTGATGCGAGCCGGCTGTGTGGAGAGGGCCAAGGCCGCGGGGGGCAGGGAGATTGGGCAGCCTATCCCTCTCTGGCGGGGGGAGGCGGGGGGAGGCGGGTAGCGCGAAGGACAAGGCCGCCTACCAGCCTTAGCCTCCCTTTTCCTCTCCTTGTCGGCTGGGCCGGGAAGCGGGACCTCCTCGCCAGGCAGTCGGGGTAGCCGCCAGAGCAACGTGGATGGAGACGACGGCCGCAAAGCCGTTCCGGCTGCCGTGGAAGAGACGCCAGTGAGTGACCCGTGGGTATACCCTTTTGTTTTTTCTTTCTCTTTTGGCCCTGATCTGCAGATGCAGACGTGACATCGCGCGAGGGATTCTATTTCTCTTGCTTCCCCCGCACCATGCAGATTCTTTTTTCTCTTCATGCCACCCTCCTTCTGTGGTTGTTTGTGCCTTATCCGTCGTCTTTTTTTTTTTTGGGAGCTTTCTTGCTGTATGTGATGGCTCCATCCACCGGAGACATGCAGGCGATGTGATGTGCACAATAGGACGAGGTGGCGGGCTTCCTCTTCGGTAGCACAGCCCGGCCTCTCTGATATTCCGTGGCCCGGCACATCGACCATAGCCTGAATGCATCTCCACAACCAGTCTGTTCGGGGGGCTCCCCCACAGTCCATGGTTTCGCATCGAGCGGTTCAGCCAAACATCTTGGTGGTGGTTACTCTCCTGTTTATCGCTGTGGCGCATCGTGGGGAGCAGGCTGGGGGCGTGCAGAAAGACACATGCTATAGCAGGCCTGTACCCTGCAGGGCGTCTCTTCAAGATTGGATGGGTGTGATGGGGAGTCGAGGAGGAGTAGGTGGTGGTGGCGGTGGATGTTGTGGATGTCGTGAGCTGGCTTGCTGGCCATGTCTTTCTGGTGGGACATGAGTGGACCCTAGTGGACGCTAGGTGGTCCAGGGGACAAGGTACCTATGGAGACTCGAGCCCTCGCTCCGGGCCGAAAACCCAGATTGCGTTAACGTCAATTTTGGCTCAATTGCTCCGATTCATCCGTCCAATCAGGCGAGGCATTGGCCTGGACCACCTGCAGTAGGGGTCCCTTTTGGGAGGGCCGGGTGGGGCGGCCTGGGGCCTGGATTTCCCCACCCGGTACCTTGTCTGGGTACCTCCCCTCGGTACCTCCGTCTGGCACGCCTCTTTCTCCAAATCGGTACTTGGTTGCGAGTACCCCTCTCGCGTGTCTGCCCCGCCGAGTGACCTCTCTTCTCTCCATCGCAACGACGACGTCGGGGCTTTTACAAAACTCGATGTTCACGTACCGGATGCGTCAAGAGACGGCACGGCACATTCTAAAATCACCTCCGCTTGATGACATACTGCGGCCGGGACTGAGATTCCACTCATTAGATTATCTCAAATTTGGGCCAGGCCGGCATGGCAACCGATATTGCTGGGTAGCTACCCATGGTGCCACCACTTACGTACCCCAACTTTGAAGAAAAAGAAAGAAAAAATGGATGAAAGCAAGGGCTAGGGCGACGCGCCCGCTACAGCCGAGAGCGACGCTGGAGGGGTAATGTGACTTTCTCGCTGGGCCGTTCAGGGCCGGCGTCCCGGTCTTGTCGCCCGGCAGACCTGCGTGGCCTACACGCTCGACTCGCGGCTTTTACTCAAACGCCCCCTCCCAGATGAGGAAAAAAAGCACGGCGAAACCCACCACCAGCCCAGAGCCGATGCTGTCTACTTCGAGCCATCTCGCCCCCCTCGCTTGCCCGGAATTAGTAGGGTTAGAAGTGGACATGGAAGCGAAAAGAGAAAGAAAAGTCTGGGGTACATCTCCACCCATGATGTGTGGTGCGTGGCGTGGTGTGTGTGTCTTTGTATGTGCCTCGCTCGAACTCGTTGCTCAATCCCGAACCGAGCTGCAAACGCACACCGCCCACTCACCCAAACTGGAAAAAAAGACAGTGCAGACCAGCAGCAACAGCAATAGCAGCAGCAAGCGCATTGCATGAAAACTGGGCGCGTCACGGAATAACCGAAAAGGAAAAATAACGGTGCGAGCTAATCTCTGCCTTCCGGCTCGGAAAAACTACCTTATCTCCATGAATCGACAAATAGTCGAGCTTACAGACGCCCCTGACGCTGCATCCTAGTATATCGGTCGACGGCTAGGATCGTGCCTATACTTACCTATCAAGGACGTTGGACGGTTGGATTGTCAATACAAAGCAGAATTTTGTCTTTTGCTGCCTTTTTTCCTCTTTCTCTTTCTTCCGTGTGGAGTCCTTGGCCACCTTGGCCATATTGAACAGCAGCAAACGGACAAACTCGATACGCGCATGCGGGATCCCATACCGCCCATCCCTGTCTCGAGGGCAGCTCAGCTCAGATGACGAGGCGCTCGCTTCTGAGATGTACGCAAGCGAGACCGTCTGAAAGGGGGGGCCCGGCGGCAATACTTCGGGTCTGGGGAGGTGAAAACATTCCGGAGAAGGATTTTGTCTGCCGACCCTCCACAAGTCACCGGTCAGAGACACGGAGCAGATAGAAGATCATGACGATAGGCAGAAGGCGGGCCATGTATGGGCGACGATGTGCATCTTTTCTGCCCCCTTTGGATGCTGGTTTTCACACCCAATCTCACTCAGTATGGCCTCCATGGCGTATCAGCCGCTCAGGTGGGTGACGTATCCGGGGAAAGTAGATTCATGGGGTGCTGCAGTCGCTTCAGCGTACCGCGGGAATGGTCGGCCCGGGAAAACGGTCATGATGCAAGTCTGCAAAGTCCAAGTGCCCACGTGGTATTTCGTTTTTTTCCATGAGGGAAAAACAAGCTGAACAAAACGCTGGTATCATTGAATGGGGTGTGTGGCATGACGCGTCTCTGTCGTAAAAATCCTCAATCTGCTAAACATGGCTCATTTCGGGTATACTCGCAAACCAATGTGTCCCCAGAAAAGGAAAAAGAAGAACAAGCGCATGGCCGAAGGCAAAAGCCGAAACCAAGAAACGAAGCGGTGGTCCCAGGCCCCTGGCGGCAGGCCCCCAGAATCAGGCCAGAAAGAAAAGAAATGGGAAAGGCACCAAGCGAACTGTTTGAAGATATCTCCGATGTAGCGCCATCGCAGTAGCGCTGATATTTTTCCCGTCGCTCAGAAGACCCTGTCTCCAACGACTGGGTGGGGTTTTCCCCCCACACCCCCAAGTACCGGCGGCTGTTGTCTTCTACCGCCGATCCCCACCCACCCTTGTCGTTCTTGTGTACCGCCCCAGAATCGGCAGACCCCCTGACAAGGAAGGTGGTCTCCAGGGTGGGAAAAAAGAAAAGAAAAGAAAAGAAAAGAGAAGGTGGAAATGAACAAGGGGAAAAGGAAGAATGAAGAGGAAGGTGAAAATGCGATTGGAGGAGCCGAGCTAATGAAATCGTGTAGTCCGTCATCATGAGAGAACACCCTTTTTCTGCTGTCTTTTGTTGTTAACCGTCCTTGGTTTTCTCTTTACCAGTTTTCCCAGACTCCTTCAAGTGAAAATGAGAGTGGACCAACAGGTCCACCTCTTTAGTGAACGTAGGGAAAGCTGCTCTCCAAGCCGGCCGAGGTTGGGTGGTTTCCCATCATGCCGTACTCCATGTGGATCATGCTCTCATGGACAGAGCCATAGGGTGAGAACTCGTACTCCTCCTGGCGGCCGCCCCAGTGCATGCCATCCAGGTCCCACATGCCCTGCTCTAGCATGCCCATCATGCTCATGCCCTCGGGCTCCAGCCCGATGGGGGACATGTGGAGTTCGGCCGCGTCGCCCCCAATGAGGAGCGTGTGCGTCTGCTCCGGGCTCATGCCCGTCGCGACGTGGATGGATCCGGCGGGGCTCTCTGGGCGGCGGTGGCCGGCAAGGGCCGGGGACCTTGAGGTTTCGTACATGCGCCAGACGACCTCGCGGCTCCGGCGGGCCGCCAGGGACCAGTCCTCCATGGCCTCTAGCAGATCAAGGATGGTTTCGATCTGCTTGTGCCACTCGGGCAGGCGCGGGCTGTTCCACTGCCAGAAAATAGAGACGAGAGGGATCATGGCTGCCTGGTAGAGGAACCACACGGCGTTCCAGCCCGACATCTGGTTGCGGGTCCACTCGCGTGCAATGTCCCCGATAGTCTGCTTGGCGAGCTCTCGGCACGTCTCAATCGCAGCAATGTCGTGCTCTGTAGCATGTGTGGAGCCGCTCGAGGCCAGGCTCAGCAGGACTGGCCTGTGCAAAAGCATGCGCAGGTTCTGGTAGCGCCACTTCATGATGCAGCGGGCAATGTACAGTGGCTCGGCGCAGGGGTCTGTCGTCCGCAGCAGCCAGGGCATGCTGGTGTACCAGTTGACGAGAGTGACGTCCAGGTGGCAGCGGTCGTCGACGCGAAGCAGAGGAGAGATGGCCAGCATGTCCTGGATCTGCGTCGCGATCTTGCAGAACTTGATGTTCTCAATCATTGGGAGGATTCCTGCGTGGTTGGATGAGTCGCGTCCGGCGTTGATGCCGAACTCGGGCATCCTGATGTTGATGGCGGGACCCCAGCGGCCGAAAGACGGACGGCCCATTGTGGTGGTGGCCCACGTATCAAGACAGAAGAGGGCCCACCAGGTGCGCCTACGCGTCTCGACCGTCACGGCATCACCGGAGCCCTGAGTCAGGCTTTCGCGGTGGAGGCCAAGGGCGCTAGCCATCCTGATGGCGGCTCCAAGCATGGCGTTGGCCATGTTGGGACGGTTGATGTAGTGGAGGTAGTAACCGCCAAGAAGCGCGAGAGCCTGCACGGTCTCGATGTGGCTGCTGCCAAAAGCATCCATGGGGAGGTGCTCCATGGCGCGGTTGTAGTAGTTGACGTGGTTGTAGTCGTCCGACTTCATGGCAGCGATGCTCCCCATGGCAAACACCATGTTGAGCAATGCCAGCCAGGGCGCGTCGAACCTCTGCCCCTCAAGGTAGTCGGCGCGGAAGGTTGTCTCGTCTAGCATGGGAATAAAGACGTGGATGCGCTTGAAGTAGGCATCAATCAAGGTCTGGCCCTTCCACGACCACGGGATCCTCTGGGGGTCCTTTTGGGTGCCCGTCTTTTGCTTTACCGACGGGTAGTTGTGCGGCATCTCGGAGCTGTTGAGCGGTGCCGAGAGCGTGTTTCGGAGCGCAGGTTGAACCTTGAGCATCACCATCAATGCGGCCTTGATGGAGGAGGCGCCGAGATACGACGCCTGGCGATCCACCGAGAGTGACAGGGCGTTTACGTCGTCGGCCTCGACTGGGATGGGGTCTCTTCCCCTGCGCTCTTCGTCCCACTCTATGTCGCTGGCGGGAATCTGCTCCAGGCCAGAAAGGCTCTGGTCCGACTTGAGGCAGAGAGGTGACTGGAGGTCATCGTTGAGTGGCGAGGTGTGGAGCGGCGGTGACGGCAGCGCGCCGACAGAAGTGTCAAGAATAGGGCGGTCGAGAAGGCTGAGAAGCTCCATGCGGGAGAGAGGGAGGAGCGCCTGCACCTCCTGGCCTGGGTATAACCTCTTGAGGATGGAGCGGCACTCTTCCAGTGACTGAGATAGGGCTTCTAGGGTCTTGCGGGAGGGGATGACGCGCTGGCGATGCTTGTCGTAAAAGCACCTCTTTGGTGCCCTGCTTGACAGGCACTGGCCACATGGCTGCTGGCCGTCACATCGGCTGCAGACGAGCGAGGGGCTAGGTCAGCAAGATATCCAGCCAGAGAATAGACCGCTGGCTGCGGGCAATACTCACATCTTGCGTCTCTTGCATTCGGCGCAAGCGTGAGGAGTCGTGATCCGCTTGGCGGTGTTGGTTCCGCCTGTCTTGGGGCTCCCCTGAGAGTCCGTCGACGGCTTCCGTGGGGTGACCCCTTGAAATGTGTGGAACATGCCCCCTTGAGTGGGGACGGGAATTGCTGGAGCCATAACAGCTAGAGATGGGAGTATCAACAGAGGTTGGAGAGAACAGGCGGCTGCAAGGAGCAGTCTGCCACCGTGGGGTCAAGATAGAGGATGGGCCAAGGGCTTGTAAGGCTTGAAAGATGCAGGGAGGAGGGAGGCTGCAATCCTCTTATACGCTTCCCAGACTGGAAAATGACTCTCAAGAGGATATCCTGAAAACGAAGTCTGGGGATCGCATATGGGGAGAAGGGTTTGGCCGAGACCGAGACCACGGGGAGCAGATGAAGATTTATATATCTACATTGCGTGCATCCGAACATTTGGAGTTGAGAAAAGGCGAGTGTGGGGAGCATAAAACGCACCGGACTGGCGTGCCAGGGGGGTGTGGTGATGGGGTTGCTTCCTGGGTGGGGACGGACGGATTTGAGGAGGTATAGGACCCAAGGTATGGGGCGAATTCGGAGCAGTGATAGAAGCCCCGATATAGTAAGGACTGGCAAGCAAGGCGTAGATGGAGGAGCCAGGGTAGCCAAGGCCGTGGGAGTGAGGGATATGGAATTGGGGTGTGACGATGTGCTGAGAGGCGCGTGGCTGTTCATGCCGCGTCCGCCCGATACTCGCCGTCCTCCTTGAACATCGAGACTGCGAGACACTCGACGGGCGAGCGGGCTGGGAGCCTTGGGCGGCGGTGGGAGTCTGGCAGTCAGCCTGCCAGCCCAGAACACGGGAGGGAAGAACGACGACTACCACAAACGGCTTAGTCCGAAAGAGCAGAAGACGATTTGGGAAGTTTCACGCCAGGTGGAGGCACCTGCCTATGAGCAGGGAGTCCCTCGCTCGTGGCCTAGCGAGGTGCCCAGTCCGCACGGCCGCGGGAGTCTTTGCGGCGGGCGGGCGAGCCGGCAAGGGACGACAGAGAAAGACCGCACGCCCCTAGGGCAAGGCAGCTGGGGCTTGGAGCATGTACCTTGGCAGGTTCCCTGCTAGGAACGGTTTGGGGTATATTCGAGAATGTCAAATCTCGCCCAGTGACCCTGGCAGGAGAGCTATCTCGTACGAACCATACCTGAAGCCTAAGCCTTAGATTAATAAGACGAGGACGAAGCAAAGGCCGCGGGCCAAAGGCCCAGAGACTCGCCGTCGATGGCCTGTCAGCGGAAATGAGATCGTAGAACGGAGCCAAAACGGCCAGCACCAGCCCCGGCGCACAGGGAGTTCCCAGTATAGAGGTCGAACATGCCATACGCCTAGGGCCTCTGACAGCCGAGGTACGTTGCAGGCAGATAGCGGCAAGTGTGTGCCTGAGCTGCCCGTATGCGCCTGCCCTCCCTGGTCTCTGCCAGCGTGGCTGCCATGGCCTCCCCAGACGGTGCCACATCGCACCGAAGATCTTGGGATTCTGGGAAATTTTGTTTCTCTAGTCGTCATGGAGCGGTAGTGGTGGGAGTGATTGGAGAGCTGCACAGCTGTGTAGCACAACCCACTTTCCCCAGGCGGAAAGAATAAGGCCGGTGAGGACATGCACTCCAGTGGCCTGGCCCTAGTTTTTCCCTTCCCGAGCGCTTCTGTGGCTTCGTTTCAGCGCGGGGAGGGTGAGTGATGTGTGCGGCAAGGTACCAACAGCTGCGGCCACAGGGGTTGGGAAGCGCCACCGAGCCGGCCAAGGTACCTTGACCAGAGCCGGCACGTACTCGAGCGTCACCCCCTGGGGGGCACAAAGTACCGCAGCCACAAAGGCAGGCGCCGACCAGAAGAGAGGCATGCATGTTCTAGCCGAGGGAGGGAGGGGCGTGTCTGGTGATCTACCCCAGGTCGAGGCAAACGGGCCCGTAATCATCGTCCGCCAGCATCGTTGGGGCAGTAGGCGGGTATGCTGGGTACTTTGGCAGATCCATCGCAGAGGGGCCAAATCGGCCCGGGGGTGGCTGTAGCAGCCCGAGGGGCAGAGAGAATGGGCGCCAGGGACAGGGGTAGGGAGATGGAGGGGGCGTGAGACGGATGCAGAGCCGACCACCAGCACATGTTTTGCTCTAGTGATCCATCTTCGGCAGAGGACTGCCAGCAGAGATCGAGCCGGGCCAGGTGGGGTGAGAGATGGAGATGGAAAGGCGGGGGAGCAGAGCCAGGGCCAGGGACCAAAAAATCAGGCACGTTCGCGTTCGCGAGGGTGGAGGAGAGAAGAAGAAAAAAACCATGGTGGCCCATAAAAATGGCGGCCGAGCGGGTCTCCCAAAGAGCCGTGGCCAATCACCGCGGCGCCTTCATTTGATGGGCCCCCTAAGTTTGGTCGCGAGCAGCGGCTGGCAGGTTCCCCGCTCAGCTCCATGTGGACAATCCAGACTCGACTCGACCCAACACGGCAGCCTCGCAACTTTTTCAGTCTCTTCTGCATCGACGGCGTTCGACATGCCACTTTCGCCTGCTACCGCAACCCTGTCTCGGACACTCTTCCACGCAGGCAAGCCAGGCCATAGCTGCCGGGCTGCAGATGCCAAAACGGCCCAAGGAGCCATCCCCACAATCTCAGGCCTCGCGCGTCTGACCGCTCTGGGCCACGAGGTTCCCTTCGCTTGACCCCCGACAGTAGTCGCTGTCGATCATCCCCCACAAACCCCAGGCTCTTCTTTTTCATGCCTGCATGGCGCTGGGCGGATATGCCTGACAGCTTCTGGTGACGGCCATGGCCACGCAGCAGCACCATGCCCGACCGAACGACCGGACATGGGGTGCCCCTTCTCGCCATGGCATCAGGGTCCCCGCCTTCGTCTTGGGCGCGTCTGCGGCTCTACGCACACCTCGTGCTCTAGCCGGTGGAGGGAAACGCCACCAACCTTGCCGCATTGGTTGCTGTCACTGGGCTTCTTCTCGTTTGGCAGCACCATGTAACCCTCTCGACCAAGGGACGTCAGAGTGAGGTTCCGCGACCTAGGCTTAACCAACGTTACTTCGGCTGAGTCTGGGTCTGCGGTTTTCGGCCGGTCCAGATACTCTCGCGCACACACGAGAAAACTCTTCAACCTTGCCCCAGTTCATGACCTTTGGGCGCTCAACTCTGGTGGCGAGCGACGAGCAGCGGAAACATTGATTAAACGCCTTCTAAAATTGACCTGTGCTGACATGAGGCCTGCAGAGTGCCGGCCCACCACAACGCCAAAAGCGGACTGACGGCCGTCACTTCTCATTGGGCTGCCCCAGCTTGTCCTCGGGTTGAGTCGAGCAGCCCTCCCTCCTTCTCTTGCCCGTCCATGAAACTCTCCCCACAAAGGCCAAGCTGCGGGCTCTTCTGGCCGTCCACGCCTGCCAAACGCCAGCCAAGGCACTTGGGGTGTGGCCGGCATCTCGCCCAGTCTAAAGTGAACTCTGCCTTTTTCTTCTGCCCGCCAGCTGCCCGCCACCTTTGCTGGTTTTCTGGTTCCAGGGCGGAAGCGGACCACATTTTGAGAGGTTTGGGAAACCAACTATCGAAACGGACCAATATTCCGATGGATCCAGACTTTGCTCTTTGTTTCCCGCTCTTGATGTCTCCACGTTGCTTTGAGCATACGAGGTCTACCAAGGTCTTGCCACCTCCAAGGCGAGGGCGAAGCGTGTGGATGTGGACAGGCAGACTGACTGACAGAGACTCGGGACATATCCACCAAGTAGGCCGCTCGCAAAGACCAGTCCCTAGCCTGCTAAACCCCTTCCTGCCTGCTCTGATAGGCCAGTTTTCTAGAGCCCCAAGCAGCCGTCGGAGGTGGTTCTTAATCTAAACTGGAGCCGTTCCGGCCTTGTCAGGCCAGGCACTGCCCGCCGGCGGTTGGTCCACTGGCTGCCCCTCCAGCCCTCAGTCCTTCCCGTCTTTCCATGCCCCTCATTTCTCCGCTCCGTTCCTGTCTCGTCCAGGGAACAGGCTAGCACTAACGCATGCCGACTTGACTTGGAACCCATGATTCCTCGACACCCGGCTCTTTTTTCCCCAACTCGGAATCTCCAATTTTCGCGTGGCTAGTGTCTCGAGCCTCACGAGGGTGGTTTTGCAGTGGTGCCTCTGACGGGGTGGTGGGCATCTTGGTGTCAGTACAGCCTCTTGCCCCGGGCCAAGTGAAGTATATTCTTAGCCTCGCAAACACGCGAGACCGGTTGAGGGTCCATTTTTTCAATTACGTCGCTGGCCAGCTGCAGTGTGACGGCCGGCGCGTCGTGGCAGCCATTATCCCTTGCTATCAGGCTGCCTGGCACTCTAGGGTTTATTACACGGCGTCGGCTGCCGAATCGCTTACCCCACATGCCCGTCGAAATGCAAATGGGGGTGGTGGCGATTGCTATAAACGGCAAGGGGCCAAGTAGCCGGCTCACTACGGCGCTTTTGCTGGGCATCAGAGGACGATGCAAGCCTCGATCCTGGGGTAAAAGCGCTCCGCTCTAGCGGTTGTGCATGAACGCCTGGGGAACGTCTGCTCTGGAATCGGCGAGACGATATCAGATGCCATCCTGCCATCTCCGGCCCATGGCCCATAGAAGCGTGCTCGATGGCCTCCCGCTGAACCCACCCAGCCCCTCGAAACGAATGCCGTACACGTGTCGTCGTCGTCGGCCCTCACATCCTGTCCTCATTACCGGTCAAATAGGGTCCCCACTTCCCCGCATGGCAACCGTTTGGGCATGTTGTGCTGCTCATTCACGAAAGGCGATCACAACCTGCAGGCGATCCGGCTATACGGCCAAGCGAGCCTGGATCGCGGGCGCTTCGGCCACGGGGGCACCCTCTTGCCCCTGCCCCTAGCCGGCCTGGGCACCCCAGGCAAGCTGGGATGGATTTCCCGAAACCCTGAGCTGAGCTGGAACACCCGGTGCCGCCCGCACTGCTAGTCTTGCTTCTTCGTTTGTCTTTGTTCTTTCTGGTGGCATTCTTCTCTGCCCGTCTTACTCGGCCTAGCTACCACCACACCATCTCAGATGGAGCACGCCGCGCTGGGAGCCACCAAGCACTCGTCCAGAATGTCCCAGACCACCACAACCCAGACAAGGTGCTTATTTTGGGGTCTTTCTCGATGATCTCTACCATGGATGCAGCGGACCCTTGACGACTCTAAATGAGCGATTTCCCTGCCGCGATATCTGCACAGATCGCTTCCATGGTTTTTCTTTTTCGTCCAACAAAATATGTGCAGACGTGGTCCCTTGGCACCATTGTGCAGGAATACAAGCTTAGGTATCTAGACTAGACTTACAAAGCTGGTGAGCCCCACCTACGCGAGTCGTCGGCTGCAAGTCATGGTGCAAAGGAGCCGAGCCCTGACCAGAGGCAGCTGTTTCTTGAAATAGCTCTTCTGGTGTGAGACATCAGAAAAAAGCCGCTCTGGTGTGCTTTGACACCTGTTTATCCGCCCTCTATCCCCTGACTTGGAACGAGGGCTGACCCCACGGGCCGGCTCAGGGCGCCGAAGAAATGTGGGTATGAATCCCCTCGGCCAGTTGTCGGGCTTCTGCCCGACAAGGCGTGGGAATAGTGGGCTCTGCTTGCGTGCCTGGAAGAGGGTGCCGGGAGAAGTCTAGGACTTGAGTTACCCCGTCCTGCTGCCGAAATAAAAGGAGACACCTGACGGGGCAGTTGCAAGGAGGGGAAAAAAAGCCGGCCAAGGGCTGATCTTCGATGCGGGACGTCAGCAGGGCCCATGGATGGGAGAGCACCTACCATAGGCGGGCAAGCAAGCGATGGGTGTCTGGAGCTTGTTGATATATTTTTGATTCATTTTTATCTGCCCACCTTGCTTTCGCTTCTTGCAACCACAAATCACTCACCCAAGACTGCAGGCTGGGTGTCGTCTTGCCATCACGATGCAGAACACGTGTGTCGACGTCGCTCCCCAGCCCACCACATTGAGTTGTGCCACCTCGCCTGCATTGCCCATCGGGTCACATGGGGACGGGGGCGTCCCTCAGTGCCATGGCGGGCGAGAGGAGAGAGGTCTAGAAAAAAAGAAAATAGAAACTGGAGGAAAATAATGCCATTCTCTCATAAATGCTCTTTTTTTTCTTCGAACCGCTTCGGCACTTTCCTCCCCAAGCGTCTCTCCTTTAAGTAGCTCGCATTATTTTGCCCTACGTCGCTCCCCATTGGCCAACGTCCCCATCCTGAGCGTGTGCTTCGGACCGGCTGCCCTCCCGTTTACACGCGCACGCACTTGTGTGCAGTGGGCAAAATATTAACAGCAGCAGTAGTGGGCGGGCAGGCGGCAAGGCGGGAGACGGCCGGGGGGTGTGTGTATGCATGTGTGGGTGGCTTGCTTGCTTGTCTCTTGCGGGTTTCCCGCATCTCGCACGTAAATTTGCTTTCGAAACACGTTGAGTGCCAGAGAGCAGCCCGGCGGCCTGCCTAGCCCGGACCTGTTTTTCTCCGCTCCGGACAGACGTCCCCTATGATGCGTGTATTAAAGGGGTAAGAAGGTAGGTTGGCCGCCCGCAAGACATCAACAATGGGCCATCTGATGCCTCTTTGGCTAGCCACCACGGGCCGGCATTGAAGCCCGTCAGCGAGACTGTTGCACAGCGGGGAGCGGGCATGTAGGTTCGAAACCTCGCCATCATGTCACTAATATGGCCATGCCTGCAGGAAAGGCTATACCTCGGCAGGACGGAAAAGGAAATATTGACAAGACATGCTCTGGGCGGTTGGGCGAGGCACAAAGAGGCCACCGGTAATACATGACGATGGCGGAATCAATACTGGCACCAATAGCAATAACAATACCAATACCAATACCAATACCATTACCATTAAAACGAATCCTTCACCTTTCACCTCCCTCGGCATACCACCCCTCGAGCCATTTCCCTTCGGCAGCTTGCGCAAAAGCGCCACCGCCAACGGCAGTGGCCACCAGCTACGGCGCACGAATTACAGCCCAGGGCGTATATCACAACCACGAGCGGGCCTCAAGCCAGAGAGGCAAGTGAGAGAAGACGCGCACGCACGCGCACCCCAGCTCCACCCCCCATATCCGCCGGCCCCTCTCGTCATATGGGCCCCCGCTGGGCCGTGTGGTTGTCCCTCAATCTCGGATCCTTCCAATGACGGACCGCCTGGACCTGGCTGGCTTCCCGTCATACCTGATTGCCCTCCCCCTCCGGCCGCAACCCCCAGGTAGCTTGCCGCCTGCCGTCGTGGCGATGTAGTCTGCCTGCCTGCCTGTCTGCCTGCCTGTCTGCCTCGCTAGTGCCCTGCCTCCATTCGCAGGGGCTACACACCCTCGGTGGGGAACCAGAAAAAAAGGGAGGAAAAAACGGCTTTGTGCTGCTTCGTCACATTTTACCGGCCGCGGACCCGGGCCCATTGTGGCTTGCGCGTGCGTGCGTGCGTGTGTAACCGTTCGTGTAAAGAGTGCCAGCAACCTGGCAGGGCCAAGAAAAGACGGCTGCGTACATACGCGGTGAAACACAGTCGACAGAGCAAAAAAGCCCCAACGTCGGCCGCGCTGCCACTGCCCGGCATGGCAGGAGGTCCGCTTGGGGGACGGGTGCGGCCGGCCAACCGGATCAGCTCTCCAAGGGGACGACGGGGGAGGAAAACGCCCACTCACTCCCCTCCTGTCTCGGCGTGTCGTCGGGGAGGACGCTCCAGCCACACACACAGCTGGGCGGTGGCCAGGCAGAAGGAAACCTGCCCACACTCCTGCCCGCCTCCACACACACACACACACACACACACGGAGCACACACACACACACACACACACACACACACACACACACACACACACACGGAGCAAGTCCGACGGCACATACGCCCCCGTCTCGTCGGGCAGCTCGCCCCTCGAATATGGGGCCCCGCGACCACTTTTGTGCCTGGGCAACTAGGCCGGGCTCCGGCAAGGCCGAGTGGTTATTTCTTTTTCCCTATTCGCGTCTCCAACGAAAAGCGTCCTCATCTTCCAAGATTGACCAAAGGGCAGCCGCAGGACGACCCATATTGCAACCTGTTTCACGGTGGGGAGGGGAGGAGACCAGGGGACGGCGCGGGAATAGAGACGGGCGACTCCTCTCCATCGTGGTCGTTCATCACACATAATTTTGCTGCCCTCACCCGCCCATCCCTTCCCGTTCCCCGAGACAAAGTCCAAGGAAGTCATCATACCTCGGAGGGGACCGGCCGAGCAAAAGGAAAACGAGGGCGTAAGGACAAGAGAAGTAGTAGCAGACAGAGTGGCCGCATCGTCATCGACGCTGCAGCTCAGATGACGCAGTGTGAAAAGCAACTTCACCTCGCCCGCGCCAGCTGAGGCCAAGGTTTCGGATCGACCTTCCCTTTTTTTCTTTCCTTTTTTTTTCACTTTGCCAACCAACCATGCAAGCCACAGCGGATCCGCGCGTGCCTGACGGCTGCCGTGCCGTGTTTGCATCGCGCAGCTGGCATGGGGGAGCAACAAAAAAAAAGGGAGGAAAAGAAGAAAGAGCTGAAGATTACACGCCTTGCCTGCCGTGTTTGCCCATGTGCCCATGCAGTAGCTGCCTTGCTTTGCGGGCGGCAGGCAAAGACGTGTGCTGCTCTTCGGATAGCGGCGTTATCACCATGCTCGTTCCCGTGAACCAACAAGGGCGAGCGAGGGAGAGGACGATGGGAAGGAAGGTGCATGACCCCCCGACTGCTGAAAGAAATGTTTTCCAACTGCTGCCTCCCATGCCTCACGATCAGCTTCCTTCTTTCGTAGACCGGATGGACATGCGGGCGCCTTGGACAGACAGACAGACAGCCAGCAGGGAGGGCGCTATAGCGGAACCAGCATCCGCACTCGAGTCGCTGCGCTCCGTCCGGCCCGGGTTTAATGCGGGCTTCCTCCCTCGGCCACCAGTCCACAGCGAGGAAGCAAGTAGCCTCCGCTCCATGCTGGCCTATTTTGACCAAACAAAAAAAGAAAAGAATAGGGCGGTGCGCAGCTTGGGCTGCCACCTAGGCCAAGGCCGGCACAGGAGTGAGGGATAAATGCGGAGACGGCACAGACTGGCAGACTTTTCGATACTGGTGGTGGTGATTCGGAGAATAAAGAACCAGACTGGAAACGAGAAGCCCGGTCCTCCCTCCCCAACCTCGCACCACACTCCCAAGGTGGCAGCAGACTGCAAGCCTGCCGAGCCTGATTTGCAAGGTGTCATCGCCTGCCAGCTTCCCGGGACTTGCGGTCCGATCTATCCTCCGTGCACGGACTCGGTCGCCCGTCAGGGGCAGCCGTGGCATTCGTCTTCCCCATGGCCATGCCCCAGCTCTGCCCAGCCCCATGGGGTAATCATCACCGCACACCCACCGTCCATGCCACCACCAAATCCCCATCTGCACACACCCCTCTTCCCCATTATACCCTCCTCCCACTGTCCATCGCGCTCCGCTGGATGAGCGCACCGCTCATCGCCGCAAGGGGGGGTGGCTCGTCGGGGCAGTATACCCCAAGTCCACCCCCTTTTTTCTCTATTCTTCCTGCTAGCTCCCCATGCCTTTCGATGCAGCACCTCTGCTCCAAAAAGGGCTACCCACAACACACACACACACACACACACACACACACACACACACCACCGCGTCGGCCGGCTACTACCAAACTTCGCCCTC